GAAAAATAATATATTGATGATAAACACAAAGAAAATTCTGTTAAAACGTTTAGTTACAATCAAGTTACCGATTTAAAACATAAATGAGTAAACAAGCTGATTACAATAACAACAAATAATTGAGATGAAGTAAATAGAGGAGATAAGTGGCTACAACAAGTATGCCTACTTAATGAATTAAGAAAGAAAAAAAATTAAATCTTTCACAATGAACATTGAATACGTTGAAAGAAAAGATAAGTGAAAGGAAATTCAAGCTAGGATCATGATAAAAATGATAATGAAAATAGTTATGCACTTATTAACATTAAGTAGTCAATCCTGATTCGTACCATTCTTTATGATGAGATCGAATATTATTATCCGGTTATTCCAACAACCAGAATACATAGAGCAACGTTTGAACATATAATTAGCTGATAATCACTGTTCCTATTAAGTGTGATTACTTTATATTTCTCGAAATATTGAAAAATGGTCATCATATAACATTGTTTCATAACTTATATATGCCCAATAAACGATTATTTCAACGGGCAATAATGGTTGGTGTAGGAGTAGGTTGAAAGACAGACACGGGCAACCAAACCAGTAAGTGGCATTAGTCCATGATGTTACTGACAACTAGACTGTCATATTATAGATGTACACCACTTGGTTAAGGTTCGTGTGATAGTTCCTAAATCCCGAAATTTCTTTATGATTTCTTTCTACTACTAATAATACTATTACAACTTTACTACACTAGGATTTGTCTTGAAATAATTTCATCTTTCTGTGCTAATGTGGCATAGCAACTTGAACCGATGTATATATGTGCCAGGTTTTACATTATATATGACTACCTTTTTTCAGACATTTTTAATCGGTAGATTCTCGTAATGGAAAAAAATTGCCAACTTTAGGGCTCAGAATTACTTGAGAACTTGACTATCATAGATGTGAATTTTAGTCAATCTACCTGGAGGATTCAAATGACAGAGTTAATTGCCTAAATTCCCATGATATGTGATTATTGGTGTACAATCATATCGGGCGTGGAATATATATCGCCAATGAGAATAAATGATATTCACACAGTGTCGACAACTAACCAAATTTATGAACGTGAACTGTTGAACAACAATTGACTAGCCTGAAAGTTAGGCGCACACCATGAAGCTTGAAAGTCTTAGGTTTGATACCCGGTGAGTTCGTTAGTATGCACCGATGAAGAATTCCATACTTGCTCACTTACACCTGTTACCCCTCGTGGAGGAGCATAGACCACCCCTAGGAGTCTTCCAAACAACTCTATCCTGAGCTCTCCTTTCCAATTGTTTCTGATTGCTATTCATTCTTTTGATGTCTAGCTTTAATTCCTTACCCAATGTGTTCTTCTGTCTTCCTCTTTTCCTTATGCCTTCAAGATTCCAAATTAGGGCTACTAAGACGTAATAGCTGTTCAATGATCCTGTTAACATTTTATGTTAGTGAAACAATGAATGTGTGTTTCATTGAACATATTGATCTTTTGTTTACGTTCCAAATTATTTTCATAAAACAATATTAAATTCGCTTCATGTTGTTTGTTTGTATCTTGCCATTGTTGTTTAAGACTGTAATTGATCAATCTCTTATTCACATATGTGCATATGTGGCCTATACTTCTCCACAAGAGGTATTAGGTGTAGGTAAGTCGAACTCAACTTTAATCCATCTCTTTTCACTACAAAACATGCATAATTATTTTTGTTTTCTAAACGACTAACACTGCTTTTTCTAAGTTATAGGCAGCTAAAGAGATGCCTTGAAATTAATGGGTTCTCAAGCTATTCTAATAATACTGTTATTATTGATGCAGATGTGAAGGCGCAGATCGGCAAAGCAAGAGCAGCATATTTACGACTGAAGAACATCTGGAACTCAAAACAACTGTATGTCAGCCAACACCAAGGTCAGAATTTTTAATACAAATTTCAACACAGTTCTACTGCATGGGGTGGAAACTTGGAGAATTATGAAAGCCATCATCCAGAAGATACAAGTGTTTATTAACAGCTGACTACGCAAAATACTTTGGATCCGTTGGTCACACACTATCAGCAACAACCTACTGTGGGAGAGAACAAACCAGATTCCAATGGAGGAAGAAATCAGTAAGAAGCGCTGGAAGTGCATAGGACACACATTGAGGAAAGCACCCAAATACGTCACAAGGCAAGCCCTTACTCGGAATCCTCAAAGCCAAATGAAAAGAGGACGATCAAAGAACACATTATACCGAGAAATGCAGACAGACATGAGAAAAATGAACGAAAATTTGATAGAACTGGAAAGGAATACTCATGACAGAGTGGGTTGGAGAATGTTAGTCAGCGGCCTATACTCCATTGGGAGTAACAGACGTAAGTAATGATGCATTATTATTATTCAAGGCATTGTACAACAAAAACATGTTTTAAAAAAATTGTGTCTTCGTTAACTTTTTCACCAACATGAAAAATATACATGATGATTGATTATTATTTTTATAAAAGAGAAAATCTTAAAATTTGTCAAATATGTCTAGACTACTGAATTGAGGTCTTAAAAAGTAGGATTGTTGTATGTAATATTTCAAGAGGAAAAACAAACAAAAGAAATGATGAATATACTAAGGCAATTTTTAAATAAACTGCATACGCACAGTATGCATATATGCCGATAACAGACTAATCCAATTGCAGTCTTAAACCTCAATGGGAAGATACAAGCCAAATAATACCAAATGAATTTAACCATTTCATAGTTTTTACGCTATATGAAATTGATGTTTCCTTTTGAAAATTAACTCAGTAAGTAGTGAGTAATGTTGTTATTAAATAAAATATGGAATGTAGTCAAAATATAATCGAATACGTTACAGATTTTCTCCTACAAATCATTCTTTTCCAAAGGTTGATCTAACCACCAAAAACATTCAGTTAGAATAAGCAGATGATGTAGTTTTGTTTGGTATAAACGTTGACAAAATGGAAGCATTCTGATTGTTTTAAATGACAGCACAAGCATATTAGGGATGTTTCTCACCTTTTCAATGCAAAATGGTGTATTTAGAACCGATTTGCTTCAATGCCTGAACTAACAATAAGGAGTGAAGTAGTTGGATAAGTTGACTATTTCACTTCTCTTGGAAGTCTTGTTAACCCTAGAGGAATGGTTTTTGGTAAAATCGAGTATGGAATTCAAAAAGCCCAGTAAATTTACATATAACGATTATAAATCATGGTGAGGAAGTTGAAACAATTCACCCCATAATACTATGATTGGTTGAAATATAGATTAGAGAAAATTAATTAATTTGACTGAGCCTTGAATAGTCTTTTCTAGTCGACAACAGAGTCGGGTACGTACAAAAGATGATATACCACTTTAAGGTCACTTCATCCATCAGTTTACTTGATATAGAGCAGATTATATTGACCGTACAAATCACTTTTTTTTGTAAACGTATTTACGAGTATTAAACCGAATGGTTGCTAAAACATGAATGTATGATACTATATACTTAAACACTTCGTTAACTATGGCAAAGTCTCCTCGCCAGAAGTATCCTTCAAAACTATCTACAAATTTAAATAAACTAGCCTAAACTTGTGCACATTAGTGGGTTTATCAATTGAGGTCTAATTACTATGTTTTAAAATGATCTGTTCTACCACATAACATATCATGATCTTAACTACCCTCCATTATTATTACTACCATTATTATTAATAGTATTATCGTGTATTAACATCCGTTCATTTCCTCTTCACCTCTGTATTCATAAAGTAATATACGACTACATAATTATACTTAAAATGAAGTGTTTAGAGCATAGTACGAAATGACATTTAAAAAAAAGACTGAAAAATTCATTGTTTAAAACACTAAGAAACTATCTCATTACACTGAAATGTAGTTATTTCGTCCTAGTAAATGGTATTTATGGAGAGGAATAAAGAAAAGTATATGAATTATAAAAGTCATTCAATATAAACTTGGTCAGTTTAATGATATGAAAGAAAGCTGTTTAGGACTAGAATCTGTTAGTCTATTGTAGGGACGGTCTCAAGGAATCTCTGAAAAAGTTGAAAACATTCCATCTTCCCGAATATTGACATGTAGCTTCCCGATTGGAAAAAAATGATAAAAACCACTGCACGGGGATTGAATGACTGTAATGATGATTTAGTTTTTACTAAAAACTATAAATACCTAAGTGTTTCGTACCATACTTGACACTGTGTTTTTAGAATAACAATCCTTCCTTCTCATCTTCTGTCTTTTAACTTGTGACTTGTAGGGTTCTCGAGTTTGAGTGTTGTACATGGTATAGCAAGAAGAATATAAGTTGTAGATATAACATTTACCATAACTTTCAAGTTGGAATCATAGACATGATGGAATTTAAAAGTTTGAGACATTATCGCATATAACTCAGAAAAGCAGCCAGTTAAAGATTGATTATACTTCCCCGTTCCACTTTATTATTCTTCCATGGTGATATTTTATTTCAATAGTCGAGAACATGAGTCAATAGAAAATAGACCACCATGGAAAACCTGAAAGCATTGGACGGCCGTTTCGTCCTATTGTGGGACTCCTCAGCAATGCGCACCCACGATCCGCACCCTACGAGATTCAGACCCAGGAACTATCAGTCTCGCGCGCGAGCACTTAACCTCTAGACCACGGAGCCAGCATCCAACGGCGTTAATGTCTAACAACTTCAACTAATCTACGAAATTGAGCAACACATCTACCATTGTCATCAGTGAGTTATTATCTCACAGCAAACCCGGTTGAACTCCACTGGTCAGTGCTTCTCACCAGAACTCCAGGATATACATCTTGAAGCCAGTCACTAGTGAGCATATATTGATTAGTACCAGAAGGGGTTTTGTGACTAGAGTTGGTATTGTAACAGAATTTATGTGTATTAAATGAAAGAGACTGAACATCTAACACATAAAAAAGTTTAAAAAAAGAATTACCTTCAATAATTGATCAGTATCACCGAATTTTGATAATGATGAGTTAAACATTGTATTTGTAGTAGTATTATTATCAGATTTTTTCATTGTATAACGATTTATAGATTTAATGGTTGTGGTAACATTTCTATTATTACTATTATTATGATTATTACTATTACTATTATTATTACTAGTACGACTACCATTGTGACAATTCGATTGATTTCCACTTCTATTCGATGGATTTATAGTTAGACCAACACCTAGAACACGTCCATTATATATGGATGATGATACATTCGATCCTCTCGATGGTTGAGCAGTATTATTGATTGTAGGAAATTTTGATGATAAACGAGTGGGTAAACATCGATTTGTTGATTTTGTAAATTGAGTAGTATTAGTAGTATTTCTACTAGTTGAAAAATAACTAGGACTACTGTTAATATTGTTATCATTAGTAGTATCTATAACAGTAGTAGAAATATTTGAGATTCTTCGTGAATGATATGTTGTATGTGGAGAATTCGATGTAGTATGTCGATCATTGTTTTGTTTTATTACAGACAAAGTTTTAGGTTTATTATTTGAACAATTCGAAAGATTGTCATTTTGTATAATAGTGGTAGGAGATGTATTAATACTGGTAACAGAATGATGTTCGACATTGTTAGAATTAGTCGGATTATGTACTACGACTTCATGACATAATTGAAAGCCCTGAAATTAAAGATTCGAAAAATTCTGATAAGGAATCGGATGATATATATAGACTATATGTAATGTGCCCAATAAATACACAAACTGAGGTTATGAAAGTTTGTCCTACAAAGTTTAGGGCATATGTGGTTAGACTTTCAACAGTTCTGTCTTCATGAGAACACGTTTCTCCCTAACTCATTACCATTAATGATAACATATCTTAGAGTTTACTCTTGAAGTTATACTTAATAAAAAATAATTTATGATCATTGTTACCTTTCAACGAAACTGGAATCGTGAGTGAGGTTTTCTCTACTCCTGCAGTGTTCAGAACCTTTCAGCCATCGTTTACATGTATTTGTTGAGCAGATTATACACCATTATTCTGAAGATCTTTCAAAATGAGTTAGTCTAATAACATCTAACCTTACACTGTTGTCAGAGTGAAGCATTGTAGCTTTCCGGGATACTTAAATGATTTACTTGAACAACTATTTTTCACAAAAACTGATGCTACTTGGAGAACCATTGGCCCACTGCCGGTCCAAAAACTGGTTATAAGAGGAGGGTTCGGCATGGTATCGGCAACCCCATCCCGTAAAAAACAACCTCGCTTAAAAAAACCCTAACCAGAAAAAACAAATTAAACTCTATCCTCCTAGTTCAAGGAAGAATCATGACGTCTCGTGATGAAATCCAAAATTTTTCAAAGTCACGATGCCGATACTCCTTTTAACAACCACAGCAAAAATTTTTATATGTACATGGAACGTCCGGACAAGGTGGGAGACCGGAAGGACCAGTAAAATAGCTACGGAAATGAGGAGATACAACTTGAGGGTTCTCCGAATCAGTGAAACCCACTGGACTGGAAGAAAGGAACGAGAATGGTGAGAGATGTCCAAATATATATGTATTCAATAAAATGGTTATAGGTGGCACAATATTCCCACACAAATGTACACACAAAGCTACATGGGTCTCACGGATCACAAGAAGAAGAGTTGACAGCTTCAGGTCATCACCAACCGGTGGTTGCCAAGATGAAACTGAAGCCAAAAGGACACTAGACAACTGGAAAAACAACACTACAAAGGTTCAATACAGCCTTCTTACAAGATATTAACAAACTCAACCAATTCAAGATAGCTCTCAACAATAGGTCCCAGGCCTTACAAGATCTGCTTAAACAAGATGAAACTAATATGGAGGACAACTGGAAAGGGACCAAAGCAGCACTAACATCAATGTGACAGTAGGTTCTGGGTTGCAAGAAGCATCATCATAAGAAATGGATCTCTATCGAAACACTGGACAAGATCAAAGAAAGGAGGAACAAGAAGACAACAATTAACAACAGCCGAACAAGAGCAGGGAAAGCCAAGGCATAAATTGAATACACAGAAGCAAACAAGCAAATGAAGAACAACATTAGGGCTGACAAATAGAAATACGTGGAAGAGAAGGAAATAACAAACAACTACATGAAACGACGAAGAAATTGATAGGGAAATATAGTAAACTAGAGAGATCGGTCAAGGACAAAGAAGGAAAGACAATACAGAGATTCAGCACAGAGGAACAGATAGGTAGAATACTTCGTGGGACTTCTTAAATAGACCAGCTCCATTGAATTTACCGGACATCGAGCTGCACACACAGAACTTCCTATAGATGACACTCTACCAACGGTCGAAGAAATCAGGATGGCCATCAGACAAATCAAGTGTGGGAAAGCAACAGTACCTGATAATATAGCAGCTAAAGCACTGAAGTCAGAAATAGAAGCAACTACAAACATACTCCACGTTTTATTCAGGGAGATTTGGGAAGAAGAACAAGTGCCAACAGAATGAAATGAAGGATAACTCATCAAGATACCAAAGAAAGGAGATCTAAGCAAATGCGAAAACTACAGAGTCATCACATTACTGTCAGTAGCAGGAATTTTTTTTACAAAGTGTTGCTGAACCGGCTGATAGACTCAGTAAACGTCCAGCTTCGAGATCAACAGACCGGATTTCGTAAGGACCAGTTGTGCACAGACCGAATCATGACACTACGGATCATCGTTGAACAATCAGTTGAATGGAGTTCGTCACTATACATCAACTTCATTGATTATGAGCACTTGACAGTGTAAATAGGCGAACATTATGGAAACTTATTCGACTCTGCTTCGAGAATTAGAAGCAGACATGAATAGCGATTGGAAACAACCGGAAAGGATTGCTCAAGACATAGTTGGATAGAGAATGCTGGTGGATAGCCTGTTCCTCTATGAGGGGTAACAGACGTAAGTAAGTAAGGTGAATATGAGAAATATAGTTCGAAAATGATGGTTCAACTGAAAGAATAACGAGTAGATGTATGCAAACCAGTTATTGGCATTTTTCATACAACAACCAGGAAATCTACATCCCGACATAAGTCAGTTTAAAACCCGAACACTTCAGGGATTGGTGCCGTGTCTTGCTTATCTTCACCACTAACATTCTCCCAACACAGGTCTATATCAGTTAGCACTGTGTGTTGGGATAAACGATTGTGGCCAGTCCAACATAGTATGTATCCTAACCACGTCCATTAATGAAAGTTTATAGCATCACGATAAAACTTAGTATTTTTCAAACATCCCCCATGCATTTAACCACAAAATGTATCACACATTCGTTCCACTATTCACGAATATTTCGAAGACTTATAGATTACATAATCCTTCTGCTTTCAAAAAAACTACTGTCCTAAAACTTAAATAATACAGAGAGAATTGTTGGTCAGTATACTCACCGCTTGATAAGTAAACAGATGTTTTACCTAAGGGTTTGTCTATATCCCTAGATTTTGATAGTCGTTAACCGACATCTACCTAAAACACTAAAGCTTTATATAATCAATATTAATTATGTTTATACAACACTAACATTTGTTTATAAACATTTAACATTTGTGTAATAAAGACCAAAGGTACACTTTAAAATATTACATAAATAAAACAGGAAAACAAGGAACAGGGTCTTAAAAAAATCTCATCACATATAACAAGCGAATGAACTATAATAGTAGTCTAAGATTTAAATTAAGTATCGACTGTGAGTAAACCAACCTAAGTGTTCACTGAGAAAATAGCAATGATTTAATCTTAAATATTGATGATAAAGGCATTGCGACTAAAATATATTTAATTGAATGTTTTGCCATACCAAAACTTTGTACACCTATGTAAAATTAATTGATAACTGATCAGTGACCAATGCCATATATGTCAGATCCTTCTTAGTGCAGATCGAATTCTATCGACCAAGTTGCAATGTGGTCAACTAGTCTAGGTGATTCAATATCGCGTTCACTATGTTGAGATAAGATAGTGACTGAAGGTAGACGACACGAAACCCTGGACCTAAGTTTTATGCTGTTTGATACCTGTCATCAAGGTGTACCTGTAATCTTAAGGGAACTGACGATCCTGACAGTTCGTTCCGGTTTCACTCAGTTGTACACCCGAGCATAATTTATACTCAAACTACGCGTTGTGATAAGTCTAAAAGTTATACAGCTCTATTAACGTAGTACTTTACCTTTTCGATAGCACAAAGAAAAATACTTTGAAATTTACAATAAACAACATACCTGACTTATTCGTTGAAGTACCATCTCTTGAAATACTTCACGAGCTGTCAATTGGCGACGGTTGTATAAAGCGCCGGGTTCCGAAAAACTGGAATATAAAACCAAAATAATAGTAATAATAATTAATATATAAACAGAAGTAATGAACTAGCATTTAACACAAGATTTGGAATTGGAGAAGGAAAATTATGAAATTACAACAATCTATTTCAATATTTAGATGAAAAGATGTGCCAACTAGACGGATCAGTAGCCCGAAATTCATTAGCCGATATAATACTACTCATAAGTAGTAACGTCAATGTAGATGGAAGAAATATGAAGAGACAACAAAGAGTTTTGAATGAATCAATCCCTAGTTGCCCTAACCGTGAAATGATAATTCATTTTAAGTCATGTTAAACAAAACTGAATTAGTGATTTCAGTGCCATCAGAACATGATCATAGAGCTCAAGGGGGTAAAACTACTTGAGAGCAGGTACACAAAAATCTTTTTTTTAATGTGTTCGTTTTACAATTAGAAAGGTTTACAGTCGGCAAACGAGATCCTTAGTGAAAGATGAAGATGTAATTTTTCAAAAGTAGCCTTTTCTAGACCTCTCTAAACACCAGGATTATATTATAAACATATTTATATCTTAATGGTTGAGATCATGAGTCAATTGAAGATAGACCACCATGGAAAACTTGGAAGCACTGAATGACCGTTTCGTCCTATTGTGAAACTTCTTAACAGTGAGTATCCACGATCCCGTGTCGCGAGATCCAAACCTAGGACATATCAGTGTCGCGCGCAAGCGCTTAACCACTAAGACCACTGAGCCGGCATACAATGGTATTAATGTACTAACTTCGACTAATCCACAAAATTGAGCGACACATCCACCACTGTTATCAATGAATTACTCTCTCACAACAAGACTCCCACAATAGAACAAAACGGTCATCCAGTGCTTCTAGATTTTTCATGATAGTCTACCTTCAATTGATTCATGATCTCAACTATTCAAATGATTATAAAATCCAAGCAAAACAAAAAACTCCCCTTCTGATATTTATATCTAATAAAATATTTTTCAAGTTTGTTTTCTACAGAATTTCGTAGTTTAGAGAATCATTAAAACAAAACAACAACAACAACAAAAAAACTTACATACATTTTACACAATTAAAACGAGCATAGATTTAATGTGTAACCATGCAACAAACACTAAACAAAATACCTAACTCAAATGAGCATAAATACAAATAAATAATTGTCTTAAAAATATTCGCTATTTTGAAATGTAACACAATTATTTATTTAGTAAAATTTCAATTAATTATATAAATCATTCCTGATTATTTCTCTCTTTTTTCTTGTTGCTATGGTTGGTGTTGTTGTTGGTGGTGGTGTATGTACTTTACCATTTAATAACCAAAAAAATGTAACTCATGACAAAATACGTTTTTTGTTGTTGCTGTTGTTGTTCATAATACAAACAATCATGATCCAATTGAAAATGATACTTTGAACTAAACTAGTAAAAATTTTTCAAAAAAAACTGATCTCTATATGCATGTTAGTTTGTAAAAATTTACATGGAGAGATAAACTCTCTTTTTTATTGTTCGTTGTTGTTGTTGAAAAAATGAAAAGAAAAAAGAAAGAAAGAAAAACAACACACATTTTGTTCTGATTAAATGAGTTAACAAATGATAATTGATTGTTATGAGTTATGAAGTCTATAAAATGAAAAGTAAGCAATTGTTATTAGCTTGTACCTTGTTAATGTATAACAATGATGATACCACCAATTAGAGAACAATGATTTATCGATTGGATCAATAACGCATAAAACAAGTACGAGCAGTTTAGAGTCCTTATCGGTTCTACTTTTGCCTAGATCAGCTCGTTGAATTTAGAACACCAATCTCAGACTCTGTGATATGAATCATGTATTTCGAACATACTGGGTTTATATACAAACCAAACAGACCACATCACACTATAAAATGGGAAATAACATTTGCACAAGATTCAGTCAAATGTGGTTGTGAGTAAGGGAGATAGAAATTAATAGACTGGGCATAACTCAAGAATGGTAAATCGTATAATATAAGTTCCTAGGTCAAAATAAAGCTTATGATAAGAAGAACATGAATATGGATATTTTAGTTAGTTAACAATTATACGATATATATATATATATATATATATATATATATATATATAATATTAGTCCAGAAATAGATTCCAACAGTTACTATTAATTATCCTTATCGGGAAATAACAGTAACCTATTTAGTAATTAAATAAAATGATGATACTTTAGGACATTTCGAACTAATGTAAATAATATAGGACCATAATATACATGTATGGAGAATAAGTTGCTACATTGAATCAATATGTTGATTTAAAATTAACAGGATAAAAAGTGAACAAAGATTGTATCTTAATTTTGAATTGTATGACTTAATTCCTTCAATACATTCAGTCAGTTAGCTACAACGTAGGACCATGCACATATATGTATCGGTCCAAGTTGCTACAAGTTGCCTCATTAGTACAACAAGATGAACACCAAATTCATAGAAGTAGTCACGTCAATCATAATAATATATAAAAGAAATATTGCATATAAGGATATAGTACAGGAAGAAAGAATTAGTTTGTAGAAAGAAAGATATGAAATGATTTCAATCTAATAGTTTAAGGGAAGACAAACAGTGTATACATCTATGCCATTGTGATCGAGTCAGAGCCATGTCACTCACAGTCTCCAACCATTGGTTACGATGGTCACGCGGACCCCAACCAAGTAGTCTGCATCTACTAACTTGGCTAAGACTAAAAATTAGTGACTGCAAGCACAAAACAACTATTAATATTGGTGGGTAGGATGTATCACTTGTTAAATTTTATTGATTGTTATTTTCTGCTTTTTAATGGTTATCTAAATAAGATTAGATTACGGTGCAAATTATAGAATGAAATAACTTCAGAAAAACTTTTACACACATCTGTATTAATGGTTATTCAATATGGTCTTTCATATATAAACATATATATGACGTATTTACCGTTCCGTGATAGATTGGTTTTGCTTATTTCCACATACATTGAACATTGATCTCTTGAATTTTTCGTTTAATTAGAAATTATTTGTACTTATAAACTGCCTATTTAATTTCTATGCTTAAAATATGCTTGGTTTTTGTTGTTGTTGTTAGGTTAGTTGAAAAAATTAATTAATTATTGATAACAATAATTTACTTAATGAACCCGATATTTTAAATAGTCATCTTGTGTTTATTTCATAATTTGACCGGGAGATATATTGTAATCAATGGAATTGTTTTGATCACGCATATTATATAAGATATATATATATATATATATATATATATATATATATATATATATATATATTTGATATTCAGTTTAATGAACTTTTATTGATTGAGATCATGAACGAATTGATGTTAGACCACTATTGAAAACGTGGAAGCACTGGATGCCTGTTTCTTCCTATTATGAGACTCTTCAGCAGTGCTCATCCAAGATCTCCACAACCTTATAATGATAATGAACTTTTGACCGAAATTCTACTTTACTTTATGGCTTCGAAGCATGAAGTTGAAAAGTAGAGAATATATTCATAATTTACTAGTATTTGACTTTAGACGTCTTCGAAATATCAGCTATATATGATAAGAAACTGTTAAGTGAACAATCGTGAAGTTAAACTCAGATTAGTAGGTAAAAAAAATGACAAATCGATTGTTGAGGTAATGAATCTTGGTTCATTGAGATAGTTGAAACATGAATTACAACGTATGCTCAAACGATATGTAATGGCAGTAATGGTGGCATGCTTGATCACTTGGGCTACCTATTCCTACCATCTAGATATTCTAAAAACTTATCTAATTTTGTTTGTTTTAATAAATCATTATGGCTGTTATTCGCATAACCTATTCAGGCACATTTATGACCTTTCACTGTAAAAGTTACGAACAAGTACAATCAGAGATATTGTGATAGCTGACACTATTCATTGAAAAGAATGAACATTATTTAGATGTCGATTTATTGAACTATTAACATTTAATCGACGATCACTCAATATTCATCGTCAGGATCAATCAAGAAATAAGTAAAGGAAACTTGTTGAAATACTTTGTGCTGAGAATTCTATATTCTACCTGAAGTATAATATTGAATAAAGCTAATAATATTAATATCATGATAATATATTGGTTGTCTTTAATGTATGCTAAAAGAAAGCTATGGGTGGTTGAATCAAGATTCGGTATCATTTCATGAAGTCAATGATTATTTGTCTATGTCTTTTTGTTGACTTTTCACTTATTTGGTTGGGAGCATTGTGATTATCATGACCAATGGGTTGCAAAACGCGGCGCAATGTTGGCTTGTCTTGGGGATAGTCAAAAAAATATTAGGGGCAGCCAAACCAAAACATTGCCTCAGTTCTCGAAGTCAGTAACTTCTAGTCTTAGCCTAGTTAGTAGATGCAGACTACTTGGTTGGGGTCCGCGTGACCATCGTAACCAATGGTTGGAGACTGTGAGTGACATGGCTCAGAATCGATCATAATGGCATAGATGTATACACCGTTTGTCTCCACTTAAACTATTAGATTGAAATCACTTCATATCTTTCTTTCTAACAACTAATTCTTTCTTCCCGTACTGTACCCTTACATGCAATCTTCCTTCTATATATTATTATGATTGAAGTGACTACTTCTATGAATTTGGTGTTCATCTTGTTGTACTAATGAGGCAACTTGGACCGATACATATATGTGCCTGCTCCTACGTCGTAGCTGACTGATTGAGTTGTTCTGTGTTCATTAATGACTTATTTCAAGAGGCGATTCCTGAAGTTATAATGAAAAGCTGAAATTAATAGTGTTCATTTATATCAGTGTGAATCAGTTACCCATTAATGATATCGGAAGATAGTTGAAATTAGACATGTAGTCTGGTAGATACAAACTGAGTGATCTAAAGGTTTACCTAGAGAGTCGGTAGTTTTGAGTTCGATCCCACATGAGTTCGGAGATGAACATCCTTGAGAAGTCCCTTACTTGGATGGAACAGCTGTCCTCTCTTTCAGTAGCTGTTCAAATAAGATCAGTTCTTGATGCAAAAAAGACATAAATTTAACCATATTCTATCGCTTAATATTTATCAAAATTGATTTCATAATATAGTTTATAAAACTCTTAATGACAATTACTATTGATGAACTGAATTCAATTAAAAAGGAAACTCGACAAGAAACTAACAATAATTCCATTCTGATTAGAGATTATTTAGTAACAAGGAGCTACGATTCGCCAAGTAATAAATAAAGAATCTACAAATCTCATGGATACTAGAATACTTGAATCAGTGGTCAAAATTATTGTATGTACCGTAAAGCATCGAGATCCCTGGTCCATTTTTTAAATAGGAAAATTAGTGAGTATAGCTAGGAAATCTCAACCTGATATGAAATAGCTACTTTACTGTTTAATAATGCAGTAAATAAGATCAGTCGGTGACGAAAAATCATCAAATTGCATTAATCTTCATTACATGAAAATTAATTCGCACAATCATAACACATTGGTTTTATGGAATTGATTGTGTTCACTTACTTATTATAGTTCAGTATCAACACAGAAACGGAGGTAATGGAATTGAAAGAGATAAAAATAAAATAATCTGAAATAATATTATAAATATTCTCTATTTGAATTATGATTAGCAGTGGAATACAGGAGAGGAGTTTCATGCAATTTTGAATTTATTAGCCAGATGTGACTGCAACTCATGAATACTAATAATAAGCGTTGTATCAGTAAAATACGCTAGTGGACATATATACTTAAGAAATCCGTGGATAACAAGATGAAATTTAGAAAGATAAGTACTGAATTCGATCTCAGTGTAAGCATCAATACTGAAATTTGAGCACTGACAAGTTAAAAATAAGACGAAATGAAAATCCTCAACTTCAGTATTAATCATAATTCCACAATACATTAACAGTTTTTTAATACATTAAAATGAGATATACACAAACTTACGTGTTATTCATAGAATCCCATTCATCTGGTGACATACCACTTGGTACAACACGATAATCATGTAATGTGTACCATTCACTACGAAGACGACAAGTATCTGGAAAATAATCTGTATCCACTGGTAAACATGCCGGAACTATCAATGACTTCCAGTCAACACCTAAAATGTATAAAAATAAACGGAAAATCAACGTCTAAACACACACACACAAGCATAGGCACTCAAAATAAGGGCTAAAGTTTGTTTTACTAACCCAAATAGAAAAATAAGTATACACCATTCATCTTTGGTAAAAAGAAATACCAAATAAAATACTTCACAGCTTCATGAGATTAAATAAAAGAACAGAAAACATTCACATACATTCAGTAACTAAATTACTACATCCAATTTATGCACATGTAGTACACTGAAATATCCAAGGAAGGAAAAGAAAACGTGGATTTCTGGTGGTAGAGGGGAGATAAGAATGAGGAACGTAACAATGTAAAAAAAAAGAACACGTTTTATTGAACATTAAGAACGTATTAAAGCTGCAACGTCTGAATAATAGTCATTGTGTATTTTCTTTCAAAAAAACGGATTAAATTTAAACTAGATAATAATTACAATTGAATACTAATCCTAGGTGTAACAGGAATTTTATTAACAAGAATAACTTACATAGTTACCAATTTAAGGGACTTGATATTGTGTGCTCTATGCTAAGATTTTAGATGGATAGATGTAACTAGTAAGAGTCTATGTTTCATGGTAGTCAGCACTTATCATCAATGCATACATGCAATTTTCAGGGAATTAATGCTCTTTGATGAATTTGATCATGTATCATCCAGTTTCGAAGTCTGAAATGTTACTAACGAACTACTTAAACCTCCACTGACTAATTAGAGAATTGTGATATTTACGATTGACTGATTATTGAGTAGTGGCCGAATGCATATGTATCTAGTTCATTAGTGTTGATGAAGCCCTATCGATCAATTTGCAGTACTATCGATTGGAGGTGAATGTAAGATGAAATCAGTTATTATATGTGAGATCCGATATGTTTAAATGAATGGAAGGCAACTGTCAAGAAACCTAGTTTGAACTAGATTTCATGTTAGCTGGTATACATCAATAAAGCAAGTTTGCAATCTTGAGAGAAATGAAGCTCCTATAGGAAGTTTAATCATTCAGTGTTGCAGTTAGCGATGAAAATACAGAGCTATTCAGGCTGTGATTGGTCTTTCGTAGGGCTGAAATAATTACGATCATTGGTTATTAAGTAGTAACTAGTGAATACAATCTTAAATAGAAGGAAACTATAGTATAACTTGAAAATATATGACATCTTGAATTAGTGATCGATGAAAGGTAAAAATTTCAATGACTGAATGATTCAGGAACGTCTAATAGTAAGATTTCGAAATTCAATTGTCTCATTATGATCGATTTCTTTATTCATGATCATCCATTACCTTCGCTTACATTGTATACTCGCGAGTAAATATAAAGGCTACGAGCGATCAGTACAAGATAATGGCACCAATCCACTAAAGCCACTGAATCCGGATGGTTTAATCATGAGAAAATAAGAATAACAAGGTACTTGTTCGAAATCAAATAATGTTAAGAAAAAAGTTGTATGTTCAACACGGAATTACTTCTGGATGACCTTCATGTAGTTTTAGTGAGAAATTGTGAAACCAGTTGACAGAAGGAACTCTACGACTAACTAATTCATTGAAGTCATAAAACGTTAACTATTAGATATGATTTGATATTCATCACGAAAAACGAGTCCCAAATAGGACGAAACGTGGGTTCCGGATTCCACTGCTAGTCATTATCCATCTTTGCTTAGAATAAAAGATATTCACATTGCTCGATGAACATGTGACGAATCGTAAATAAATATCAGGAACCTATAGTGACAATAATAATAATAACAATGGTGACATCTAACATGTCAGAAATAATTTTGTCTATAATTCTAAATCTGTTATAACTAAAAGTATTTTCATCCTGACAATATTACCAGTATGTTGTCTGTCAAAGAGAATTTGACTGACATTTACACTTCAATAATAATCATAACTATTATTATTATTATTCAACACAAACAATAGACATTCTCTAACACAAATAAACTTAAATAAATTAACCGAGAAAATATAGAGAAAGAAGTTAGAATAAAACACTAACAAGACGAGGAGGGAAAGGACGAAACAATTACACTAGCATATCAACACGAAAATCATGTAGACATACATAGACATAGAAAACAAGTTGATAATAATGCGAAATGATTACACAATCAATTCAATGGATTACATTCACAGACAAACATTGACACATACACATACATATACATATATATGTACGAATATATGTAAACTAATCACCATTAAACTAATAACACTACTGTATACAATACTGGACAGTTAGATATAAAACAAAAATAAACATTTATGAAATAAATAAATAAATAAATTGAACAGGAAATATACAATAGGACAAGAAATAATCACATCTAATTCACAGCTACAGAGATAACAATAAGAAAAACAAAACAAGGGGAAACCTCTGGGGTGAAATGGGATGGGGAAAGTAGGGAGATATAAGGTAATTACCGATAAGTCGTAACATTTTCCGCAGGGCATCTGAAAATAAATCAGCGATATAATGCATACATGAAACTAAGAGTTATAATGCAATTAAGAGTATATATATATATATATACAGAGACAATTTGACATAACTTACCGAAAACAATATATTTTATTAATCAAAGTATTTGTTATATCTTTCGAAAAGATGAAATCTCTTTTATTTTGTCCTCATGTGGTCAGGTTAATAACTATAGAAGTATGACTACTTACTACATATTTCGTTTGTAGGATCGATAACTTTCTAATTTATTAATGATACTGGGACATGTGTTACTTATGCCCAACCACCGACTACCCCGAAGTGCGATGTTTTATGGTGTAAGATAGTGTAAGGTTGGAAGAAAGCTAGGGGGCAGCCAGACCGAAACATGGCACAAGTCCATGAAGTGACTGACAAGTGTAGTGAGCCATGTTGGTAGGTGTAGACTATGTGGTTGTGATCCGTGAGATGATAGCAACCGATGGTTAGAGACCTTGAATGACATGGCTCAGAATCGTTTACCATCGCGCAGGTGCATCCACTCTTTGTGTTCTCCCAAATTCTAATCTTCTGAATTCTTCATATCCCTTCTTTTCTCCTTCCAAATTTATTACACTGGATTATACTCCATAAATGACATCTTCAAACCCTAATGTTTTCGATTACTGCCTATACTTTTTACTACCTGTACGACTATGGGATTTGAATCGACAATTGTATCTGTGTGCTAATAAGGGATGGCAACTTGAACTGATGTACGTACGTACGTACGTACGAAGTTCTACGTTGTTGACTCACTGAATGATATAGTGGTCAGAATTGACAGACAATATAAGGTTTATTGTTGAATTTGTTCAGTCAAACGATTTATATAATAATATAAAGTAATTTACTGATCATAGATTATATAAACCGAATATAAATGAAAGGAAACTAGGTAATCAATCCATAATTAGTAAACAATAATTTAAGAAAGATAGAAGCATTCAAGAATGCTAAATATATAAGCTTACAAATAGGGAAATATACAAATAATTATACTGAAAAAAATAAGCAATATAATTCCAAAAAATGGCAGGTTTCTTTTTGATTATAACAGTGTGTTTTTTCTCAAATAATGTTTTTCAATCAATTAGAATCCTATGAATCAATGATCATTAATACCTTTAATTAAAATGTAAAAGTTTCCATGATGAAATTGAAATTAAAACTAAAATTAATCAAGATTTGTACAAGTTTAGAATATTTCATGAACCGACACATGCATACACACACAGACACACACACACGAGCAACTTCCTATATTATTAGGTAGAGGTAATAAAAAGTTTCATAAGCAAAGATGGATAACAACTATCGATGGAATTCAGTTTGACACACATTTCGTCCTATTTTGTACTCGTCAGCCGAATGTACCTGCAACCCAGAGTTGATGTCCATTCCTAAATTACACTGTTAGACACTATCTATCTTTGCTTTAAAAAAAGCTTGTGACTTAAGGTTATATCAAGGCAATCTGTACAGGATGTACATATGCCAACATAAGACCGATCAATTGCAGTCCTAAATAACAATGAAAAGATACAAGAAGAAAAACAAAGCCAAGTGAATTTAAATAGTTTCATAGTTGAAAAATACAAATTGAATTTTGAGAAGAAGTAAACAAAGAAAGTATCAATTAAAAATTTAAGCTTCAAAAATAAATAAACTATTATTGGTGGTTTGTTTGAATATCTGATCTACCTGTTGTTACCATCTAGATATTTCAACAAGTTATCTGTTTTCTTATTTGTCTGTTTGTTATAACACATGAATATGACTATTAATCGGCATAACCTATTCAGGCACATTTATGACCTTTCATCGTAAAAGTTACGAAAAAGTAAAATCAGAGATATTGTGACACTATTCATCGAAAAGAATGAACATTATTTAGATGTAGATTTATTAAACTGCTAACATTTAACTGACGATCACTCAATATTTATCGTCAGGATCAATTAAGAAATAAGTAAAGGAAACCTGATGAAATACTTTGTGCTGAGAATTCTATATTGTACCAAAAGTATTGAATAAAGTTAATAATAATAATAATAAAGTGAATACTGATTACAGAATAGAAAATACATCAGTTTATCAAAGATTTTTTTGTTACAATGTGTGTAGGATAATGGTAATTTCCAATTTTTAACGTTGATACGAGAAATAACGTTACTGAAACCATTTGGTGTTATATAAATAAGAAACAGTAATAAATTAACAATTTGAGGGTAAAAAAACACACAGCATAGGTGGAATGAGAGAAAAGGTGTTTAGTACTTTGAGAACATGGATCCTTATGTGTTGGGGATGTTAGATCACTAGAAATCATTAGGTAAACGTCCTATTTTTTGTAATTTCATTATGAAAATTCGAATTTCTCAATTTTTCCCCAACATTTACCTTTAGTTTGTATTTCCAACTGAAAGGACCTTAAATATCATTGCTTTGTTTCCCCTATTAGTGAGCCATTTTGTGACGTTTTCTAAGGACATGTTTGTACTGTATATATAAACATGATTTGTATGCTTGTTCGATCATTTTTTATATTGCTTGTGGAATATATAGTTTTGAATATGTATATTCTTCTTCCTCTAGTTAGCAGGACAGGAGTGTGGTGGAATAGCTTAGCTTGTCTTGTTATTGTGTTACTGACCTTTGTTCCATTCGCCGGTTTTGGGTGATAATGTAATCTCTTCAAACTTAACAATATGAATAATACTAATAATGTTCAAGTGGACTTTGTAGTGGATGTACTGAGAAGACTATTAACTTCAAGGAAATACCTATCTATAATGCATTGTCGAATTTTTAATTTTACTCTAAATGAAATAAATCTGTGACGATGAAAATCAAATTGTGATTATCATAATGAAAACTTATATTCACTTGGTGTTGTTTTACTTGTATCTTCCTATTGTTATTTAGGACTGCAATTGATCAGTTTTATGTTGACATATGTACATCCTGTACAGATTGGCTCGATATAGCCTTAAGTCACAAGCTTTTTTTAAAAACAAAGATAGATAATGTCTAGCAGTGTAATCTAGGAATGGACATCAACTCTGGGTTGCAGGTACATCCAGCTGACGGGTACCGCATCCTGGATTCCACTGCTAGCCACTGTCCATCTTTGCATAAATTTAGTTCACCTTTCATCGTTCACTTATACATATCTGTGATATAATATTGTAGTGGATGCTACTCACACAAGCAGTGTGTTTAGGAACGTAGTGTCAAACTTGAAACAATTGTCGAACAGGTTGAAGAGTTAGTTCCAGTGCACTTAAAGCACATCGTTAACCAATCGGGAAGATAATCCAGATTGTAGAACACATCGGAACATGTAAATGGACGAATAAAAGTTGTGTATATATATAATGTAAATTCTTTGTAACATCTCGTAACAAATATACATACCTCCTGCCTATTGTCTTGTTTTATAACATAAATGTAACTGATGATGAGATTTACTGATTAATGGACATAGAATAGTATTACATCTTTTACTGTTCAATAATATATATATAAAGTAGTAACATTTAGTGAGTGTTTGTTAAAAATAGTCACTGTCTCTAATAAGAACTGAATCTGGTCTAGAAAACCTAAATGTATGTATCTATTTTTAAATGTAAATTTGGCATTATTGTTCATTATCACTGTAACATTAATAAAATCATTCAATCATATAGATGTTATTGTTATTACAGTGTAATTAAATGTAAATGAAAAGTAGTTAGTTGACCATATGATGATTATTGATTGTAATATAAATGTTGATTAGAAGTTAATATTGAATGATTTAACAAAGTGAAATCCATGAAGAATTGAATTAATTGAATTCGATAGGTTAAGTAAAAAATCTTCATTGATATTCTGGACAACATCATCAATGTTTATTTGGTGTTGTTATGTCCGAGTGGAGATTAAATTACAGGTAACTTCCGAGGACTATTCATGGACTAATATTCTATAAATATTCTTATTGTATAATTATTCAACAATTACATTACATATATTTATATTCCTTTTATGATAAGCTTTATTTTGACCTATAACTTATTATTGTACGATTTACGGTTCTTAAGTTATGTTCAGCTTATTAACTACTGCCTCCCACATCCACAGCCACTTTTTGGGCTTATTTGTGTACAAATATTATTTCCTATTTTATGGTACGTTGAGGTCTGTGTGATTGATATATAAACGAAGTATGCCTGAAATAAACGACCTGCTCTGATTCGGAAGCTGGTATCTTGTTCTGGACTCAAGTGGAAGGGCTCGTAGGACATAGGACCAATAAGGACACTAAACTGCCCACACCGGTTGAACGTCATTGGTTGGCCTAGTGTGAAGATTCGTATAAGTCGTATTCGGATTGGTAGATAAGTCGTGTGATCGAAAAGTCAGACGTTCAAGGTCATAACAGGTGTCAAAATCAGCTGATAAGTTATCCAACAACAAAAAAGAATTAAATCAATATGTTCTGATGAATTGTTCTGTGAGTGATTTACTTCGAATATTCTATCATCATTGAAGTTCCTTTTGAGAATCATTTGTTTTTACTCTATACTCTTCGTTTTTACTGGTTATATGTTTTGAATAGCTTAGTAGTGTTTTAATATGTTATTTCGATACTCTATTTTCACAAACATATTTGCTGTTTTCCTCTTCAATTTAACAGTATATCTAACAATTCCAATCCTGCGAGGCAGGGTTGTGGAAGCGCACTGTTGAGGATTTCAACAATAGAACGAAAAGGCCGTTCAGTGCTTACAGGTTTTTCATGGTGGTCTAGCTTCAATTGAATCATGATCTCAACTATTGAAATTCATATTTCTATCTCAATTGTTAATTTCAAACTCAATTAAAGATCTTTAGCATCCCATTAGAGTTAATATTCTTCCACCTTTGGATTGTCATATTATAGATTTCCTCTCGGGATTTGCTGTTTTGAGTTATGAAAATCTGGATAGATGAACTTCCACTCGAACTTCTACATTGTCTATAAATGACAGATTGACACAGAACGTTCTTCTTTGCGATTTATCAGTTGGATGTATCTGTTTTCGAGTGTTGATGTCCATCTCACGATTAGAACCCAGTAACTTTCTCTTTAAACACCTAATTCATTGTTTATTGAAATATAAAGTTCCGGTAGCCACCAATTTGTGCAGTGCGGAAACTTTCTGCTGTTTACATTAAGGAGTGAATTTCGATCAATTTCTATTCACATATGTGCATCCTAGGAGGATTCATTTAACATAATCATTAAGTCAAAAGTTTTGAAGTAAAGTTGAATAATAACTAGTAATCGAATCCAGAAAATGCGTTCTGTCCTATTTGAGAATCGTCACTTGTATATACCTTAGATACACATACAAACAGAATGAATATATGCCAAAAGAGACTGATTGAAATTTAACATTCTAACATTAAGAACTTTTGATGGAGTTTTGTTCTCTGAGCTAGATGGTTTGGTCGTAGAGCTTTCATCGTTCTTCTGAACGATATCATCAGCACAAATTTCAGGTAGAAGTCAAGTGTTCGAATTTCTCCACATATGACTTACACTTGTCCTGTAGACCTCAATGTTGATTGGTTATTATTGACTTGAAACTTGCCATTGTTTACTTGTTTGTTTTTGGTTATATCACCCATTAGTTTAACAAGCTATGAACAATATTTGAGGAAATTCGAACACTTCACTTCCCCTTGAAGTTTGTCCTGATGATGTCGTTTAGAAAAACGATGAAACCTCCATAATCAAATCATCCGACTCAGAGAACAAAACTTCATCAAAATCATCCACCTAAGTTACAAATCTTCTCCATACTCTCAATAACATTAACAACAGATAGATTCAAATTCATACAAATAAATAATAAAACCATCAACATAAAGAAATTTAAAGAGAAAACATTGTGATTCAGTTCAATGAAAAAAAGAAAGAAAAGAAAAACAAAAAAGAATGATGACAAAAGCAATAGATAAATAATGAATAAGAGATGGTTTGCTTTTCTGCAGTTTCAAAATGGAATCTCTAAAATTAAATAAAACTTCAAACAAATTACAACTAAGAGTAAAGTGAATTTGTTCTCATTAGAAGAAAAAAAAAGAAGAAAAAAGAGGAAATTGTCTGGACATTTGATTAACAAAGACAGTGGAGTGAACACAGAGAGAAAATAATAACAACGACAACAACAAATAAGAATAATAATAAAACGAGAACAACAGTGACTGTAGAAATTTTTTTATTATTATTAAGTAAGATAAAAATGCCGCAAATTTACGACATACAATACAACAGGTAGGGAAGGTGTATGTGGCAGAGGGAGAGAGGGGGGAGGGAGAAAAAAAACAACCGTCGAATGATAACAGTTGGTAATTGTGTTTGTTTGATTCTATTTAAACGTTTACTAGAACAGTATACAATGAATAACTATGTCTAGTGGAAATATGATTTCAGTCAGTTATAATCAAAGAATTCGAAATAATAATAATAATAATATAGGGATTAATAATGATAAGAAAGATTAAACATTGAGTATATGGTTCCAAAAAACAAAGATGGAATGTAAAAGTATGTATAAAAGAATATTGGAATTGAGGTTCTAGAAATAAGATAAAGAGTAAACTTATCTTTGTCATTATAGCCGACATATCATGTGAAGTCTTCAGTTATAACATGGAAGCAAAAACTAAATAGTCTACATCTATCAATATGAATCAGATGAATATTCAATGACTTCAAATTAAGTGAGTATTAGTTTTTTTGTTTGTTTGAAAGCTGTAGGTATATTCTGTTGACGGGCACCAACTAGTATAAAACCTCGCTTAAGGATGAATTCCTGCCTACTAATGCTAAACATTTAACATCAGTACTTATAATTTTAAATAATATATGTTTCAGATACATAAAACAGTTTACTTCCGGTATCTCTTTCAAGGAAAACACGACCTCATACAGTAGCTGTGTCTGAATCAACTTTCAACATAGAATAAGAATAGCTCATTGATATAAATGTCAAGGAAAACATTTTAAATCCATCATACAGAATAAAAATGGTGTTGATTTATATGCAAGCAGCCAATTTGAACTTTATTTGTTGTAATAAAATGGATCAACCGACTGACAATCTAGCACTCACTATGTCATTTGCAGAAATTAACGTAATTTTGAAATCTAACCTGAATTACTACTAATGATCGCCTAACTTGGCATTGACTGAAGCTTGAAAAAGCAGTAGATTTGAAAAAAGAATCCCAGGAGAAAAGATTACGAGTTGTCTTCAGTCCATAAAGTCAGTGATTGCTAGTTTTAATCATGCGTCCGCAAGTGCAGATATCTTGGTTGGCATCCGTAAAATCTTTGTATTGTTGTCCAAAAGTTGGAAAGGTTTGATAACATGGCACAAAATCGAGAACAATGATATAGTTGCATTCATTCTCCATCTTCTCATAAATCTTGGGTTGAATAACATTGATCAAAGTAAGAATATAAACTATTGGATACCAACTTAGTAGTCTAAAGGTTACGCAATTGCATTGAATCCCAGATGAAGCGGTGGATGCATATTGCTGATGAGTTACATAATAAGGAGAGACATCCATTGTTCAGTTTTTCCTATTGAACCATATTTCGCCTATTTATGCTTGTATAATAGTTTAAATTAATTCTCATCATCTTGTCAACCATGGTTGTAGATATTCTAATGTGTAAAGTTTAGAAAACTGAACTAATACACATTTATACAAGGTCCTAACGCCTATTGCTTATTGATGTTAAGTAAAAAAACATAGATCGATATAAAAAGATAAGTAGATAGTACAATGTATTACATGTGATATGGTCTCATCAAAGATTACAGTTTGACATTTTAAACAATTAAAAAAAACAAATATGAATAACAGATTCCTTAGTGAGAAAAACAAGAGAGGAAGAGAGATAGAGATCAGTTAATTATCCACCAGAAAAAAAAGCGTTGAAGTGAAATGGAGTGGGAAATCTTACTAGAATATACAAAAGGAAAGAATAGGCAAACACTAACGACTCTAAGAATAACTGAATATGTAAGCAGGGGGAGAGTCCGTTCTCCCTCTTCAAATGCTCTCACAGTGGTCTTGGGTGCTGTTAGAGGTATGAGGGCGGTTATCACTTCCCGGTTGCCCACACCGTGGAAGGGTTCTTCTGAAGGTACCTGAAAAGGAAATTGGATTAGAGGCGGTCTCAGTGACCTGAGAGCGTGACCGCAGTGTCCAAGGGACAACTGCTTGAGGTCGGTCGCGCACGGCCTTTTCGTGAGAGGTTTGTGACGTGTTAGTTCCGTTCTTCAGAGGGCCTTACCGCCGGAGACGGAAATCCGTGAGGTAAGGTGAGGTGTGCATTTTTAGGGTCGACCTTTTCTAACCCCACCCCTCCTTGTGGGAAGGCAGCATCGCTGTCACGCTGGTTGTCTGAGGAAACACCTTACTGCTGTCACACCTCTCTACAGTCAGCAGTACGACTTCGCCTTCGGACCTTAGGTTTGTTGCTTTTAGTCTTACCGCTCTTCAACCGACCTGTCTGACATGGTAGGACCTTGAGGAACGGTTGTTCCAGCCAGTATAGCTCGATTGCTCAATCACGATAGGCAAGCCCGACCACCACGTCAAGGTAGCAACAACGGTCGGGAAATGCTCTCACATGGCCACGCGTATACAGCCAGTGAAAGGAAGTCATACTCACTGTCTTCCCATGATGGGGGTGTTGTTTATGAAATTGAGAGGACGAAAAACGAATGTCTGGTGCTTCAACCGGGTTGGTGGATATGGATGATCTATCAACAGGAGTTGAAAAACCCTGGTTCTAAACCAATGGTGCACATGGGCTTTAAAATCCTGAGGGGACAAATAGTGTATGAACCTATTGTTGGTCATCAGCTACCATAGGACTGTATCTCCTAACGTCGCTCCACTGCCATGTGGATTAGACTTTCAGGTCAAAGGTTGCAGGTCTGGCCCCCTAATAACATCGCGTGCTTCGATTTGGGCACTCGCGTAGTATCCCAACCCTTACACAAATCATTCGATTTGTGTGGCATATATATATTTGGTATCTTCTTGTACCTATGTCTGTATTTTTAAATAAATAAAATATTACTATTATTATTACTACTACTACCATAATCCTTTGTCAAGAAATGCTTACATATCAAAATGAATTAGATAAAATCTTACCGACACGTTTTGGTATCATCTGTTTATAATTAGTTAATATATTGAAATTATTCATTTGTACACTGAACAACTTTTGATCATCACTACTGTTATTAATAGGATTATTATTATTATTAATATTATTACTAGTAGTGGTGGTAGTAGTAGTTGTAGTAGTAATATGTTGATTTTGATGCCAAAATGTTGATGACAATGATGGCATTGATGACAAATAGGGAGCTGACAATGACGATGATTGAATGGAGTAAGAGAACATTGCATGTCTAACAGATTCTAATAAATTTTCTAAAGCTTTCCTTGAATTCTCAGATGTTTGTATTAAACTATTGTTATTATTATTGTCATTATTTCTAGGCTGATAATGTTGTTCTGTTTCTAATGTTACTGAATTTGGTAAAGTTGATGGGTGATTATTACTGTTGGATGGATTATATTCTGATGTAGTTTTATCATTGAATTGAAGTTGGGAAATATGATTAGTGTTAATAGATGTTGAAGGAAGTGTCATCGGTAAACGATCGCTTGAAATGCCTGAAATTTAATAGAAAGAAATATATATACATATAATATAGAAAAAGCTTTTGCATGACCAAATAGAAATTTCTACAATGATGGACACATAATCATCTGATTGTAAAGTACGAGGAATGTTATAGTTATATAATATACCCTTGTGGGCCAGGGTAATTTTACATTGGTTTTCAGGAGAACCAGACACCATCCGGACTTTCACGTAAAAACCCAAAAAGTACAGCTCAACCCCGTTTAACAGGGGAACCAGACACCGTATAGGCTTTAACGCTACAATCTGAATAATACAGCTCAATCCTGTGGCGCAACCACATAGATACCAAGCACTCTGGTGGGCCATTCGCACCATTCATATACACATTCACATCACAGGTATGGTTATTCCGATCAATGATCGCGTGAATCAATTATGCACAGCACGAACAGGCCAAGGTTGACCTATTCCGCTTACACGACAGTCAAATGAATGAAATCGGTTAACCAGCAAACCAATTTTTTGCATGAACAGTCAGCAAAACTTTCCGAAGCAATGCCGAACCATCCATAATAACAATGGCGAACCTCCAGCCTCATATGAGACCTTCAGCTCTACATAGCCATATAGTTTATATTGCATACAACATATATGTAGGGTAGTAAGAGAAATAGCCCAGCCTGAAGCGTCAGGGCTTAAATAACGCTTAAAACCCACTGTCTGATGCCGAAATACTATAACTAGACCACCAAGATCATTTTTATCGCATTTGCGAAATTTTCATTTTTCCGACTTTTCAGACCCTCAGTTAGGGGTAGTATTATAATATACTGTTTAGATATGATGAAAGGTAATTAATAGATTTAAATATCTACAAACTTTAATACATTTAGACGGATGAGATATGTATGATGTATATTCAGCCTTTGTCTATTAAATTATGCTTAGCTGACTAGTACAGGTGTAGGTTGAATGAAGAGTACAATAAGAAAATCAACGCTAAGTAACAGTTCATGAAATTGGTCAGAGTACTGAAGGTATATTTATTTCTTATTTCATACTTTTATTTGTTTGAACACATTGTACATTGTACAAGAGGGCATCAAATACATATGCCCCATACAATTACAATGAGGCCATTAGTATTTATCATTGATTTGTATTCCGAGTATATTGCTTCGATGTGTATTATTACATAAGTTTATATAAAATAGATTAAATGTGGTCAGTAGTGGAATTTAGGATAAGGGTTTCACCATCTGCTTGGAATACATCAGTCGGATTTACCTGTTTCCTAGAGGTGGTGTTAACTGAATTCAGTAAATCATTGAATAACGCTTTGATGTTTGAAACAAAAGGTAATGAGTTTGAGTTCCGGATCGAATATCAACTCTGGGATACAGGAAATCCAGCTGACGAGTCAAAAGCAGGATGAAACATGCGTTCTAGATTCAATCACTACTCATATTTAACCTATTCTATCTAAATTAGTGAATGTTTTATAATTTTTGACTTTTTATCAGTACGCACAACAGAACTTCCAGGTCTAATGTGTTATACTTAGAATACGTAGTTGGAACGAACTTCAGTCAGTGACCACCATCATTTTTGGGATTAGTGCTACTTGCTGAAAATGTTGTTCTACAATATGTTAACCACCCTTATAAGTATTGGATACAAATAAATGTTTAACTCAATTAGTCAGTCATCTATAATGTAGAACCCAGTATATGTACGGATCGATTCAAGTTGCTGCACCACATTAGAAAAGCGAGATGAAATTATCAAGAAAATTGTCAGAGTAATAAAAGCAGTAACAGTCGAAAAGATCAGATAGAGTTAGTATGAATTGATCGAAAAGAATAAATTACCAGAATAAATAAAAAAAACATGGAATAATTTCGAAGATAGAGTGAATCCATCTACATCTTTGGAACTGATTTTGATCCTTGTCATTTAATGTCCCCAAGCAGTGATTACAAGCAAATATATCTAATTGTGGTCTAGCTTCAATTGACTTATGATCTCAACTGTTGAAATTACTACAATCTCCATAAAACCCCTTCTCATATCTAACTGTCTATCATCATTCACTACAAGTTATATGATCACATTGAAAAATCAGAATGAAAATAAACAATGATGGATTAGATGAGAACAAAAATACAATCATAATAAGTGTCTATGAGGGGGATAAGGAGCTGAGATAGAAGGGAATAGAAAATGAAAAGTATTGTATTAAGATCATTTATGCTAATCTACACATTTAAATCAGACATTTATTATGATCATTATTGAGATTACCACTAGTACTACTACCACTAACCATAGCAATCGTGGCGAAAATCGAGATAAATAATGAGGGGGTGTGGAGCAATTAATTTGAAGATTTGTATGAACATAAATCATTGACTGAAAATGTTTGTAGTCATATCATTGTTTTACTTAAAAAAAAAAAGTTTAGCAAGCCCTATTTTTAATAAACTTTGTTTAGAAGAGTAAAAGAGATGAAAACGGACTCAAGGAGAAACTAAGTATATATATGTACAGAGAGAGAGGGAGGACTCATATTCTAGAGTCGATCTGATAAATTAAATTAGTTTCAACCTGTTGACTAGAAAGATATAGATCTAAATCTGATGTTTAGCTTATATGAATAATAATGATAGAATCAATCGAAAGGATAATATTTTGATTTAATTTGGAATGGTTTGGATAATCCCGTTGTTGATATTTTTGACAGAAATTTAATCAGTCTAGGTTGGTATAAAAACATCTTGAATGGCTATCTGAACTCAAGAGTTAGGTGTATGACGCGATGGCGTTTAAAGCAAACGGTAGTTGCTCTGGAGTGAGCATCAAGTATGGGATGTAGGCACATCCAGGGACGAGCCCTAAAACAGGACAAAATGCGCATCTTGGATCCTACTGCTCGCTATATTCCATTTATTTTATATCAATTGTACCTAAGCTTTCGTGAGAAAAAGTCCGAATAATTATGGTAATATGGAAGAGAGAAAAAGAGAATGAATATTTTGGGGCCGACTGACAAAATGTATTTTTAATTGATTATTATTCACTAGTAAAGTGTAGACGTTTGAAGACATGGCTTTGAATTAGTCACAATTCGGCAGTTATATTTGTTCTCTACCATATTTAACAGCTTGGGTTCCAGTATTCTTCGAAACATACATTTTATTCTGCCTTTTTGAATCATATTCTCAGTTTCTTAGCCTTCGATATCACCGTTGCTACCATATTACTTTAATATTTTTCATGTCGTGCTAATGTGGTACGGCAGCTTTTACCAAAGCATATTTGACCACTAATCACAAGTAAACACCTTTTCTGTGACTGTTTAGTGAAGTGATGGACAGTTAATTTCACAAGCGTAGAGATGTCCAAACATTCTAATTGAAATTTTCTAAATAACTGATTAATCTTAACATGGAAGTTTGTGGGAAGTGCTGAGTTTTCATAGTATAAATCAAGGACTGATCTTAGAGAGGCAATCATCGATAATCAAGAAACACTAGACAGCTGTTTCATTCTAGTGTGTGGCTCACCAATAGTGTGTATCCACAATCACACTGGGGGTTAGACCCAGGCTTTGCGGTGAGCAACTAATTCGTACTGGGACGAAAGAGTTTCCTGGTTTCAGATGTTTGTCATACTAAAATCAGTCCGTGATATAAATTGTTTTAATGGTTCCCGAATAAACATATCTTCCTCTTTCTTCTGACGGTCAACTGGATTATGAAGACCTCGACATCTGAGAAAAAGCACGGAATACAATGGACAGCTCAGAAACAATTTGTACTTTGCAGATGACCTAGTCCTCCCATCCTATACGCACGAACAATCGCAGAGGAAGTCAACTAGTGTAGCAGCAGCCTCTGCATCAGTAGACCTCAACATACACAAGGGGAAAATCAAGGTCCTCAAATACAACACGGAGAACACCAACCCAATCACACTTGATGATTATTTCGTCTGGTAAGCAACCAGCACTCAGTTACACCATATCATGGCGTATATATTTATCAATCTCATTCTATTCATTCATTCTACTAACAGAAAAAATATTCACCAAACTTCATAACTCATTCATACATAATAATTGTGGGCTCACTAATGACTGCCTTCAAGATGCAACTCCTGGAGTTCTATTGAGAAACCGTGACTAATACAGTTCAACCATGTTAGAAATAAGACTGCAGGAAATGAATGAGGGTTGCGCAATATCGCGGATTGATTAAATTTAAACGTTAAGGCCGTTGGATGCCGGGTCAGTGCTCTAAAGATTAAGCATTCGTGAACGAGATTGAAGGTTTCGGGTTGGGTTTCCAAATGCGAAGTCGTGGTTGAGCACATCTAAAAACAAAATGGCCGTTCAGAGTTTCCAAGTTTTTAAAGGTATTCTAACTAAGATCAACATAGGATTTAAACTATGATCATTTATATACTTTGAAAATAATTACAAGTAGTATAACTACCACCCACAGATGATTTATTCAGAAAAGCAATGATAAGTAATGCGATTTGGATAAGAATCTACAGACAGCTATATAGTGGAAAGTAGAAGTTTTCATATTCAATATGGAATATTGGCTGAAATATGAGACAAACAAGAGACTAAGTGGTAGAATGTAATAAAAGCAGACAAGTATTTTATTCACATAACCAGTAATTTCAAGAACTCGAGTGATTTGTGTGAAACGTAATGTGATATTATACAAATTGACTGGATTAGTAATTTGTTGCACAATGAAATTAAAACTCTCATAAAATCACTTAATTATAACAAATATGTAGTATGAAATTCATAACATAAAGAATTGAATGATTTTTTGTCTCAAGTTGAAACTCCTTAAAAGTCTCTAGATTTATTACTACACAAACACTCGAAATCAAAATTTTTTAAATATCACGAAAACCATAAATTTACTGAGTTATCGCAACGGTAGATTTCAAACGCTCCTAAAAAACCCAATTTTGCAGGTCCTGTTCGTCACCAAGTGATCTTAGTTAGGGTACCGTTAAAAACTAGAGAGCGCTGGACAGCTACTTTTTCTTCCTGTTGAACTCCTCAGAAATGCACACGCACAGCCACACCATATGCGTTGAACCAAAAAACTTTAAGATTCATAGAGAACTTATAAATATTAAGATTACTAATAAGTTGGCACGTGATGGTAAAATCCCAAGTTCGATCAATTTGCGATACAGCGTGACTACCATACAATGTCACTGTTGACAACGATTTCATTATGCATTCCCATCAATCATCATTTACCATTACAACTTCGGGAGTACTTTAAAATAAGTCTCTAGTTAACCAACAACTAATGTTTAGTTGAAGTGATTTTGTAGAGATTGATTTATATTTCTTTTTGTGTATCCTCGTTTCACATAATCTTTAGGATATTTTACACATCACGGACTAATTTTTTAACTAATGAACTACTGAAAACTAAACAAAACATTGAGCATCTTTCTTATTTTCTAGTTGGTTAAGCGCCTGGCACGAGACTGATAGGTCCTGGGTCTGAACCCCGCGAGGCAGGTTGTGGATGCGCTTTGCTGAGGAGTCCCACAATAGGACGAAATAGCCATCCAGTGATTCCAAGTTTTTCATGGTGGTCTAGCTTCAATTGGTTAATAATCTCAACTGTTGAAATTTCTTATTTTCGTTTAGGAATTCTTTAGCAATCTGTATATTGATAACCTAGGACATTAGGCCATTTACCATATTTTCATAAAATAAAGTCAACAACATAGAGAAAGTGAAGCATTGATAAATTCATTAAAATGAAACAGAAAGAAAAGAGAGAGAGAGAGAGGGAGAAGAGATCACAACAAAGTATTTCAAGTGGAAAATGAATGAAGCGCTTTGTCGTATGCACCATGGGTAATGTCTTGTTTTTTCTTAAAAAAAAAAAGAAGAAAATAAATCTGTCTAACATCAAACAGTATAATGTAGAAAAGTATATTTATTGTAATATAAACGTGAATAAAAGAAATTGAAGAAAAAAAAAAGAAACCCATGTACAAACAATACATATTGAATGATGGAAAATATATAAAAGGAGATGTTAAATGTAATTAAATTTATGCACTTTTGTATACATTTCGGTAATAGATTGAGAGGGAGAGAGAGAGAGAGAGAGGAGAAAAAGGAAAGAAAAAAAGAAAGAGAAAACAACGTAGAGGAAAAGAGAGAGAGAGAAAACTTACCAATACTCCTTATTCAAGAGATTTACATATATAAACACTAAGTAACAAACATGAATTTGTGTTTAAGAAAAAAGAAAAGAAAATAAAAGAAAATATAGAGTGAATTATTTTCAAAAAGAAAAAAGAATTGGAATTTCAAAAACTAGGACAGATTTACACGTAAACTGAACTAAACACACAACGGCACTCATACACTACACTACACATATGAACTGTAGTAATACAACTACTTATAAATCATTAATACATGTTTATTAACCACTTAAAAAATGAAGTTGATTTATGAAAAGTTAATTAAACTTGGAAATAATAATAATAATAATAATGAATTTTTCATTTTAATCTCAATATGAAATTAATTCTTAACGAATCAACAAGATAATGAATTAAAATGTTAAAGTAATGAATCATTGGTTAAAGAATTTAACTTTCAGTCATTAAGTCTTGGGTTCGAAACCCGCTTCAATGAAATCAACAAGCTTGATTGTATTTGTACAAATGACATCATTGATGATAATATCAGGTTGCTAAATAATTGTTTATTTTAACACATAGATATTGGTACAAGGAGGCACCAAATAGATATGCGCTACAAAAATTTCATTTGATATGTGTGAGGGTTCTGATACTGCCCGGGTGCCCAAATCGAAGCAGGTGGTATTCTTAGGGAATCACACCTGAAGCCTTCGACCTGAAGGTCTGATCCACAAAGCAGTGGAGCAACGTGAGAAAATACAGTCTCATCGTAACCAGTGACCAACAATAGGTTCATACACCATTTGTTTTTTTAGGATACTGGAGCCCATGTGCACCATTGGATTAAAATCAGGGTTTTCCAACTCCCCTAAGTGGACTCTCCATGTCAACCAACTCGGTTAAATTGCTGGACATTCGCTTTGCGTCCTCTCAATTTCGTAAACAACACCCCTGCCACGAGAAGGCAGTGAGTAGGACTTCTCTGGCAGAGGCTATATACGCGTGGCCATATGGGAGCATTTCTAGAGGGAGAGCTGACTCTGATAGAAAATGGCTATCCAATGAAATTCATAAATAAATGGAAATTTCATGGTACAATGAGACCTACTGTGACCCTGATAGAAAAAAAAGCCTGTTTACACCACCTTACCATTTAGAGGTGATTCTAATAGACTTTTATTGAAACAAAGGCTTAAATCAGTCATCAACAAAACGTATTGCATGCTTCATCCAAAACCTAAAAGACATGAAAACGATTATGTCACACCCCACTGTGTTTACCAATTTAAATGTCTGTGTGGTCACACATACGAATATTCAAACCCCTCGTTGAGCATTCAAAAAGTTTGTTCTCACCTTAAACCTACCCTGGTAATATTGGCTTACTATCCAGAGTGATTAGGTTTCAAATTGTGTTCACATTATTATTATTATTATTATTAGCCTTGTCTCCTCTTACCCTCATTCCCAGTCTAGTTGACCTTTTATTTTTATTGAGATGGTGGAGAACATTTGTAGCTCAAGTGGATGATTTTGGTGGAGTTTTCTCCTAACAATTATATGTGTGATCAGATTGTTCGAAATCTATTGCGCTAATACATCATCACATAGTTCTGATAATTTTTGTCATCTTATTATATTATCGAAATTTATCAAAGGGACTAATTGCTTTCACTTTATTTAGTTTGAAAAACCGAATAGTATTATTAATGTACATGGTGAAAGAGACAGTTTAGATTTTTATATTCAAATGTAAGTAAAAAGAAAACCCCGCTCATTTTAGTGTACACAAATCATGAAAACTAATTATGCAATGTAGAATGGAACACATTTACTGAGTCAAAATAAATTGACGCTTTCACTTTAGAGATACAGTGTACATGGTGTAAGAATCAGTGATATTACTTTCCAAACTTAAGTAAGTAAACTGATGGTCAAATCTGTAAACGAATAGTTTAAAATTAAGCCCTTCACAACAAATGAATCAGTGTTTTAAGGTTATAATATAAACATCCAATTGACATTCTCTCCATCAACGACATTGAGGAAAACACCTAAATGCGTCACAAGGCAACCACTCACATGGAATCCCCAGGGCCAAAGGAAAAGAGGAAGATGAAGGAACACATTACACTGAGAAATAGAGATAGACATGAGAAAAATGAACAAAAATTTGATAGAACTGAAAAGGAAGGCCCAGGACAGAGTGGTTTGGAGAATACTAGTCGGCGGCCTATGCTCCACCGGGAGTAACAGCCGTAAGTAAGTAATTGAATACACTGTTCACATGCTCGTTAAATAAATTGATTATATTAAATGAAAGAAGAACGATCATAAAAAAACTTAATATGTAGATGCACTAATATTAAGGATTCCACTTCCTAATATTTAATTGAAGTCAGTTGAAAAAGATGTGAACAATTTTTTAAACATAACTTAGTCAAACCCAGAATCATCGGTTTTGTGTGCGAACCATTAACCTATAAACAACACAGCCGGTAAGGTTATGAATATCCACTACTGAGAAGTCATATACAAGGATAAAACGCCCGTCCAGTATTTGCAGATTTCCCATGATAGTCTTGTTAAGATAAGTTCATGATTTAAACTGGGATAATTCGATAACTTACTAAAAAAACACAACTTACTCTCCTTTTCAGTGGTACGTTCATCATAGTCTGATAAATGTTTTGAAGATCTGAACAAACATAATATAAAAAAGAAAGGATTAACAAATGCTATTTAGAATAGCAGTCATAATACGATAATAATAATAATAGTAATGGATGCAATATTACTGTTATAAACAATAATAATTTATGCACTTAGCTTTGACCTCCACTATTTGTTTATATAAGTCCATCTAAAGCGGGAAGTATGAATCTATAGCTCATTTGTTGGAATAATATTAGTTTCATTCAATACTATAAATCTTATTATAGAAATAGATTATTATCAGAACTAATTATGGAATACTGAAACAAATCTTTGCTCTTGAAATGTATTCAAATTGTAATTATATTAGGATAGTTTAATAAGAAGATGAAAACTATCAGAATTATGTGATATAATAGCGCAATACATTTCGAACAATTTAATCACATAAATACTTGTAAAAGTGAGGATAAACTATTTTGGAATACATAAAAGAGGTTTGAATTTTCGTATGACCAAGACTTCAATAAATCTTAGTAATCAATAATGAACACTTTTTTACAAATCAATAAAAGTCGAGTAAAGATCAATCTTTTGACCTGCTTCAATTAGATGTTTAGCAATAAAGGATGTTGGATGTCCATCGTTCACGCTTATTGAGTTATTTGATTGTATTTGTTTTGATAAACATTCAGGTAGATATCAAACACTAATTTGGCAATCACGATCACTTCTCCCTATGTATGTGTGACCACACACACACACACACATTTAAAGTGGTAAACACAGTGGGATGTGATGCCATTGTTTCCATGCCTTTTAAGTTTATACTGAAGCACAGATTTTGTTCTTTCTTTGCTAATGATCTTTGCTATGTACTACGTTTTGTTAATAAGTGATTTAAACCTCATCCCATAAAAGGTTATTTGATACATTACTGAATGATAAGTTGAAGTAGAAAAGATTCTTTCGCCAAATCTATAGTAAGTTTCACTATATATTATATTATATTATATTAAAAAATATGTTTCATATATATTTTTAATAGTCAGTTTCTACTATCTATATCTTCAATCACGAAAAACTTCTGTACTCATACATCAGTTGTCAAAACTACTTTTTTTTCTCCCATTCATCATGTATCAGATATATATTCCAATATGTTTATCTTTCCTTAACTCAATATTCAAAACAGGAAAATATGTCAACTAGTTGCCATGTGTCCTGTATCTGATTCCTAGTATTCAACCTAGCAACAATTTGTAAATTGTTTTTTTTTAAAAAAACAGAGCACGAGTACATTTATAATTGTTTAGTTTAAATGATTATATAATATAAAAAAAACTATATGTACTAGTTACATAATTCGAAAATAGGATATTCAATTATTTAAGTAAGTAATTTTAACCATTCATGATATGAAAGACTGACTTCTTTAATAACTAACCTATTGTTTTCTAATCAAAAAAGATATCATTTATTCTCTGATGAAGTAGTTTACACTGAGTCACGAAACATCAGAAAATCGACTCATTGAAATATTACAAATATATTGTTTCTATTTATAACAATATACCCAAATGTTCAATTTATTTGAAATTATCAAGTTAAACCTTTGTAAGGATACTTACATGTAAGCATTGGCTTTATTGAAACTGGAATGTTGAATATCAGCAATTGGACGATTAACACAGTTGACATTATCATTATTATTATTATTGTTATCTTTAACACTATTCTGATTTGATTCTCTTTTATCCAAAAAACGTGCACGTAAAAAGTCAAAATATGCTGTCCAAATCTGTATATTTTTAACAAATGAGAACAATAGAAGTGAGATCGATAAATATTGGCAGTGAATAAATAAATAACTTGAATATCACAGAAGTACTACTGTGGTGCGTGCTACTTATATTGACATAAGTAATATATGACGCGAGTTAGGAATGTAATGTTTGGCAGCAGAAGATTGGGAAGATCAAGAAAGGAAGAATGGGAATAGAAAGCAATTAGTATGAAAATGCAAGAACAACGAAGTTCGAGACAAGTATTGCAAACATTTTGCAAATTAAGTATTATAGTATGGTTTTTTCTATTTACCAAGTAACTCTAATTTTGAGGTAAAAATACAATTCGACTGTCTCCACCTGTGTTCTGTTCATTACACTACAACTAACAGCTAGATATCATAACAGAAGAAAACTATATTTAACACAATAGTCATAATTTTTCTGTAAATCAAAAAGAAAACGAAAAAACGATACCCTTACATGAAATACATAATTCCGTTCTAACTTAGAACACTTTTGAGGGACTTCAAGAATTCCTAGAAAAGATCTTTGGAAGCTGGAAGATTGAAAATACTTTCAACAATGAATTAGTTGTTCTTAATGTCTTGGATTGGAGAATTATGGGTTTTGTTGGTATATTTAACATGTTCACATAAGCTTGCAGAATATCCAAGTAATTTAACAAGCATTAAATAGTTTTCTTTTCTTTATCCAAAATAACTATGGAAATAAAGCTCCTTATCATACTTCTTAGATTTTCTCCTCTGTTCAATGTTCGACTGTAGAAGAATTCTCGAGAAGTAATAAGGAGCTAGAAGTCCTTATCAACGGTATGAACTCTAATCAACTAGTGAGATTCCAAAACTTGCTCTCCAAATATTATTACTTTGTAGTGAGAACTTTTATTTGAACAGAATATGAAGTTTCCGAAAATAAATAAATAATCACTTTATCTGAGACTTATGTAATACCGTTTATTCTATGTTTAATCTTATCTATTTACAGTATTATTTGGGATTTTCACCCGAACGTTATCAGTTTTGTTTCTAATATTCACCATACCTCATTATATGACTTGAAGATGATAGGAAAACTTTCAGTAAAGTAAATTTATGCTAGTTTATAAATCCTGTTGATTTGGTCTTGTCGAAGACAAATCCCCAACGACAACAGCGGGTAAATGCCTCACAATCGACATGATTGAACTCTAGTGATCATGGCTTCGTGTATTATTTACTGCCCTGCTGGTTTTACTTGGGAATGGGAACCATTCTAAGTCCCACGACACGAAGCGACGACACAAAGACCAGATACACTCATTTATATATTAATTATTAAATATCATAAGAATGTAAAGGTATATGGGGTTACTGTAAAACGCATAAAGAATTCACATAGAATATGACAAAAAATATAACTGTCATATTGAACGAAGGTTCACATCTATCATACTGAATGAAAGTCACATTTAACTAATACAAAACGCATTGACCTGAAATAATGTTGCACTGGAAAATGTAAAATCAAAGTCGTACTGACCGAAATATCACACTAGCAATATAAATTATCATACAATGCTACACTAAGATAGAGAAAACGTGAATTAGTATAGAAATTTATAGTGACTGTTGAATATTATAGTTTACTTTAGGCACTGACCTTAGTTAGGCAACCACTGAAGACTAAAAAACCATTGTGTTCAATCTCTAGTAGGGCCATGGATATACATCCCTGAATCTTGTACTAGGGAACGTAACAACTATCCAATGTCGCATAGTTTTAATGAGTTTCTAACTAATCTTAATCTGTGATATAAACAATTAATCCTAACGATCTCTACAAACTCTTCATAGTAAGTTATTTTTGGTGTATAATTTACGTAAAAAACTAATTGAAACCAAATAGAGAACGAGTCTGAGCGAAAAATATCAATTCACTTTAAATACATAAAACCATACTTCTTAATGACTTCCAAACTTGGATAACAACGTAGAGAAAAACAGTATTCAGTGACTTTATGAAAACATATGGTATATTCCTGTAGTCAATTCTATTGTTTTTCGTTCAACCTCACCTATTCTACTGAACTATCGGTGTTGTGGTAGATAGTGGCTGAAAATTGACTAACACAATCACCCTTAAAATCAAAATCGTTATCATATAAACATATTTATTGTGGCACCTTTTCTAAGTTTGAGATACAGCAATAAGTTTCTCAACAAGGTCTAACTTTTCTTCTCTCTTATTTCTACACTGTGGAATATTAAGATTGAAATGACATTTTCACGTAGATGAAGACTACTTGGTTGGGGTCCGCGTGACTATCGTAACCAATGGTTGGAGATTGTGGGTGACATGGCCCAGAATCGATCACAACGACATTAGTGTATACACTCTTTGTCTTCTCTTACATCTTGAGATTAAAATTACTTTATACTATTCTTTCTACGAACTAACTCTTTCTCCCTATATCATATCCTTAAATGAAATGTCTTTTTACTACTATTAAAGTAACTACTTCTATGAATTTTGTGTTCATTTTGTTGTGCTAATGAGGTATTTCAACTTGGACCGATGCATATATGTGCCTGGTCCTACGTTGTAGCTAACTGACTGACTGTCACGTAGCACAAGCAGCTATTACTAAGCACAAACGTTTACTGCAATGAATATATATCATCAGTCAAGAGATCCTTCTTATCCTATAATAATACTGATATATTTCTAAATAACTAACTTTTATTCTACATAAGATGAGATAAGCCATATTATTTTGTAAAAAAAACAACAAAAAAAAACATCCACTACATTGATATAAACAGAATAAATAAACATTATAGTCTAGATAACCAATGAAAATTTTTTTATTGTGTACTCACTTGACAAAGATTATAAGGTAACGGTGCAGGATACATAAAATCGATATCGTCTTTAGATGTAATGATACAATGTGGTGTAATTGTACCTCCATGTTCATCTGTTAATACAACAATATTTTTCAGAGAAAAAAAGAAGCAGATCTTTATATTTAGATAGGTGATTGTTACTTGTAACTATTTAATTTTCTCAAAAGATAACTTGATCATGAACTTTATAATAATTATCATTAACTCATTTTATTATGCTTCAAGATACACTTCGAGGGTGCGAGAAAGTGATACAACCTAGTTTAAGTAGAAAGAGACGGGTTCGAAGTTGCAAATAGAACGCCTTAACTATCGGGCCACAACTCTATCAATTAAAATTATATGTATAACCATTGGAAAACAAGGAACGCTGTATACAGACTTTTTGTTTTACTTTGAAGCGCTTTGTTAGGTATATACTTGCTAGGTTTGAAGCGGTCACGAGTCCACTTAATCTGCGAACGGAACAAAGACTCGATGCGTATCAGCCTCGCTAACTAGAGGAAGAAGTCCAAGCATGAAATGGGGAAATATATTCCGCAAAAGCTAGAAAACAAGCGATAACAACCGACACAAATCAAAACGTATATTTACATCACAAAACCGTCCTTGGGGAAAGTTACAAAATAGCATACTAAAATATACGATGGACCAATGGCATTTAAGATTCTCCCAAGTGGGAAATACATGAAGGTGAAAAGAGCGCTTTTGGCGCGAAAACAAAGAAATTCAAATTTTCTAAATAAAATCAGGTCTTTTTCCAAGTGAGTTCTGGGGATTTAACGTCCCCAACAATACTTACAAATTCAAATAAAATTAAATCAGTAACTTTTTGGTCTCACAAAGAGCAGGATACTTTTAGATCATCACCAACGTTAGCAGTAGGGTACAGGATGCGCGTTTCGTCCTATTTGACACACGTCAACTGGATGTACTTGCATCGTAGAGTTGATGTTTACTTCGGGATGCAGGTACATCCAGCTGACGAGTCTCAAATAAAACGAAACGCGCATCCTGGATTCCACTGTTAGCCACTATCCATCTTTGCTTCTTCTTCTTATCTCTCGAATTGTTTAAAATATCAAAATATAACATTGAACATTGTAAAATAATAACAAGCATTTAAAATAGAGAATAAACTTCTATAACAAAAAAGGATTTTATTATTCATTCATTTGTTTTTCTCATATTGTATTTTTCAACAAAAAATACACTTTAAATAGTAGTTAGTCAGTTAAAACGTAGGACTAGGCACATATACGCATCGTTTTCAAGTTGGCATATTTCATTAGCACAACAACATGAACATTGGATTTAAATAGCAGTTGTTAGCTATGGTAAAACGGTACCATTAATACAAATGTATTTTGTCTTATTAAATAATTATATATATATATATAAAGTACAAGGAGTTGTTTCAATAATGTTTATATATTATAAATGATATTTACGTAATGATACAATCTAATTGTAGAATAGTTTGTATAATGAATACTTGTTTACTTTCTATGTTATTATTTAATTATTATTATTAAAGCTTAGTAATAATTAATAACTTTTTTCGTTTTGCAATTCTTGTTTCTGTTCATGTTGTATGTTTCTTCCCTTTTTTTGTTTCTGATTAAAGGGATAGAAGAATACAATTTTAGAAAGAATCATACATTTATGACTAATTTTCTTTTTCAGTTAACTTTTTGTATTATTCTTATTTGTCATGTTCTTGTAAATCATAGATTGTAGTTTTGTCCTGCTCGATTCTTATATTTCAACACAGAATTTATACATTTCAAGATGGCGGAGAAGATTTGTAGCTCAGGTCGATGATTTTGATGGAGATTTGTTCTCTGAGCTGGATGGTTTGGTTGTAGAGCTTTCATTATTCTTCTGAACGACATCATCAACACAAAATTTAGGTATAAATGAAGTGTTCTAATCCCACCATATGTGGTTCACAGCTTGTCCTGTAGACCTCGATGTTGATAGGTTATTGTTGACTTCTAATGTATCATTTCACTGATTGAAATCATGAGTCGATTGAAGCTAGACCACCATGGAAAACCTGGAGGCACTGGACGGCCGTTTCATCAAAGTATGGGACTCCTCAGCAGTGCGCATCCACGATCCCGCACCCCAGCGAGATTCGAACCCAGGACCTAACAGTTTCGCGCTGGGCGCTTGACCAACTAGACCAGTAAGCCGGCGTCTATCGGTGTTACTGTCTAACTTCAACCAATCCACGAATTTGCGCCACCGTACTCCATTGTCTCCGGTGAGTTGATATCTCACAACAGACCTGGTTGAACTCCACTTGTAACGGCTTCTCACTAGAATTCCAAGAGCATCTGGGTCGAATATCGTGGCGTGAGGAATCGTGTACGCGCACTGCTGAGGAGTCCCATACTATGACGAAACGGCGGTCAAGTGCCTCCAGGTTTTCCATGGTGCTCTAGCTTCGACTGACCCATGATTTCAATCAGTGAAATTTCTAAAATCCCCACAAAACCCCTTCTGATAATGTATGATTGTTTACTTTTTTATGGGAGATAAAATCAAAGCAAGGAAGTAAACAATAACAGGTTTAAGGTCAACAAAAACCAATCTAGATCGAGGTGTACAGGACAAGCTCTAAATCATATGTGGAGAAATTAGAACACTTTACTTCCTTTTTGAAGTTTGTGCTGATGATGTCGTTCAGAAGAACAATGAAAGCTCTACGACCAATCCATCTAGCTCAGATAACAAAACTCCATCAAAAGTATATTCAATTCTGAAGATATATTGAAATACATTTCAAGTTTTTATAGCATTATGAGCTTCAGTTATTATTTTTGATGATCTGGAATTTATTCGTACGTATTGAAAATTTTACTTACAATATATTGTTCTGATAATCTTATTAAGTTTCATTGAAATCTTTGTGACATTCGATGATATAACTTCAGTGCTAGCCAACTTTTCTTATATAAGTATGTCAGTGAGTAACAACGTAGAACTTCGTACGTACGTACATCAGTTCGAGTTGCCATATCACACTAGCACAGAAATGCATTTGTCTATTCAAATTCCGTAGTGATACAGGTAGTAAGAGTATAAGCAGTAATCGGAAACATTAGGGTTTGAAAATGTTATTCAAGGAGTATGTTAAATTCTATGTAGAATTTTGATTTAAAAATAGTTTGCATGAATCTGTTCGACTTTCTGTATGCGAAACATAGACTATGAAAGTAGAAGATAGGCTTAAGCTGGAAGGTCTTTGATAACCGCTGTCTTCGAAGCATTGTTTGTGTTTTAAAGAACGACCAAAGGATTAAGTTTGAAGTTAGACAGATGTGACAAGTCGGTTGATGAGGTGATGGATCTTCATTGACGGATGTGGTTAGGACATATAGTATGTAAGCTCACCTACTGACTATTTCGAGGAGCAATGCTTGGTTTGTTGATAGATGCAGACTACTTGGTTGGGGGTCAACTCAACAGCCATAATCAGTGGTTAGATTTTTGATAAAATGACTCAGAATCATTCACAGAAGAATAAATATATTCACTCTTTATCTTTCTATCGATTTTGAACTTCAATATTCTTTCACAAATATCTTTCCATTCCGTCTTTTCAAAGCATACTTCTAACATGTGGTCTTTTTTATCATTGCTCCTATATTTTTTTAATCTTTTGTTGTTTTCATCTCATCACGCTAATCAGATATGGCAGTTTGGACCAGATACCATGTTGAAGATATCTGTTTGCCTGATGAGAACATAACGAAGTAAAAGAAATTCACATTATTCCCCTTAAATTTTTGCATTTAATTACATCAAAATAATATTATTATTATAACAAACCTGAAGGACGAACAAGTGCCCATCTACGTTGACCAGCAGATATTGGCATTCTATATGGATTTTACTTAAACCAAATGGAAAATATGCTCCTGATATAAGTGAACTAGTTGCATAATTTGTTAAATTACGTGAATATGTAGTTGAATTAAATTTTCCACAATGTATTGGAGTATTAGTATTAGTAGTATTGTTAGTAGTAGTGGTTGTTATTGCTGAATATAATGTAATTGTTGATTTTCTACGAATAAATGGTAAAGTATGAGAATTTAATCCAGATAATGATAAGGTACCATTAGTACGACGATCTATTGAATTACAACTACGTAGTGTAAAATGTTGAGGAGTGATGCTATTCCATGAACTTGGAGATGGTTGTCCATCTGATAAAATAACATCCATTGCTGAAAAGAAAAATTTATAAAAGTAAGAATTATATATTATTGAATAAATGGAGTAAAATTTTGGAGAAAAAATGTTGACAATATACTAATATTCTATATATATTACTTAGAGGAATACAATACTGCAACGGTTACGCTGCAACCACATCAAAAGCTTAAGTTTGTGGGGCCCTTTATTTTGTCGTCATTTAGATCGGATGATGTTTGTTGACGGGCTCTCCACTTTAGTGACCCGAGTTCTGACTCCCAGTAGATCGTATGAATGACTGTTATTGAATCGTTTATGTCGCCTATCCTCGTATGTCTTTATCGACTTAATCCGTGTTGCGTGAATAACGGAATTAAATAAGTCAAATAAAGAGAACTGACTTTTGAATACATATGTTTCGTATAATCGTTGATCCAGACAAACGAACGAGGAAACGACGCTAAGAGAAGAGAGCGAAGCATAAATGACGCGCGGTAGAGATGGCGGGTAAGCCAACTCCTTTAGTCAAGCTTTAATCAATATTTATAGGCACACAAAAATAAGTTACAGACATGTGATGAATGGGATAAGAAATGTACACACACATATGCGCTCATATAAAAACAGTGAAGATTGATAAGCGAATAATTAACTAGCACAATGAATAGATTGGCCTGCCCGAAAGCTAGAGCAAGGTATATGGGCTTAACATAATAACCGATACTACAAATTAATGAACAAATAACTTTATATACAAAAACAGTACAACTTTCGACGATCTGTGCATTTTGCTTCAAGATTAGCGATAAAATTACTCAATTATACGAGAGTGTGAATCCATAACTCATTACCAGGTAGGAATCCACGTAAATAACTAAAAATTACATTCGAAGTGGAGCAATAACTCAGTGACTTAGGCATTCAGTGGCTGAGTTATAGATTTAAACCCGACTTCACTTACTTCGATCTGGGCAATCTCATAGTATCAATAGCTCTCCTATTTCTAGTGTCTGTCAGCAACCATAGTACATCAAAAATAACGATTATCATCTAATCACCAAAGTTAAACAACATTAGACCTGGTTAGTATCTGGATGATTGTCCTAAATACTAAGTCAACGCTTTAATACTAATTATATTCTTAGCCAATCAATCAAAATTTAGTAAGACTATCACTTTGAGAAAGCTAGAAAAAAATCATTTAAGTTAATCAGTAGTATGCAAGATAGAACCTGGCACATATGCACATCGGTTCACCTGATCACACCCCCTTATAAAGTGTGGATTAATGGAATAAAAAAATTTATGACACCTAGAACCAGAGGTTCTAAGGGAAGATAGAGAGTAAATGCAGCTACGCCATTGCTACCTGTTCTGAACATTGTCATCCAACACCGATAACCGCTGAATATGATAATCACGTGGGCCCAAACTAGGTAGTCTGCACGTAATTACATGACTCAGTCCAACAGTCAGTGCATTCATGGTCAGATCACGTCTTAGTTTAGCCACCCCAAGTTTTACTCCAACCTACTCCTACATCAACCATTATTCCCGATCAAGGTAGTTAGTGGATGAGCATACGTACTATAAATCGCTACTACTTCATTTGATAAATATTCAAAACCTCACCAACCGATTTGCCATCCTTACCTACTACCCTGTGTCTAACCTCAGAATTGTTAACTCCATGGTTCTAACATATATGAGCAATGTATCGTCATGTCACCCAAAGTCTCCAACCATTGGTCACGAAAGTCACCCCGACCCCAACCAAGTAGTCTGCATCTACCAACATGACTCAAACTAGAAGTTAGTGACTTCGAGTATTGATGACACGTTTTCGTTTGGCCGCCTCTAACTTTCTTCCAACCATCCCCAACACTAGTCAGCATTACGTGTCGTGGCAATCGGTGTTCAGGCATATGTAACCCGTGGCCCAACCCTTTTAGTCGATGAAGATTCACAACTTCATCAACTGATTTACCTTCATTCCCTTAGTTCAGGTGTTGATGCAGGTCAGTTTTGAAGCAACAACTTCCATTTAGAATGAGAGAAGCGCATTCCAAACATTCTGGCATTGTTGCTCAGTGTTACCAAATAACTGCATTTTATCACCATCTTCACCAAACAGGACTATGTCATCTATGTACTCTAAGTTGATAAGTGGACCTCCTGGAAGGAAATCGATTCCTGAAAATTCAGTCGACGCGAACGTTATTTCCATCAGTTTGTCTATGATAAAGTTGAACAAAAATGGAGATAGTGGACAGCCTTGCCGAACACCACTTGAGGCTGCGAAATCAGATGACAATTCCCTATAAGCTCTGACCCGACTGGTAGTGTTCAAGTAAAGGGCCTTTTCAAGGTTTATGTACTTCCATATAGCTAATATGTAAGAAATGAATAATAATGGTAGAAAAACAGTTCAAATAAAATGGACTAGCTAAACAAACATGCATACATTCATAGAAATTACTTACTTCGACAACGAGAAATAGCATTTTCATGTAGATATGCAACTTCAGCACTATTTACATTATAATTAGCCTCATTCACAGAATTAGGAATCTCTCTGAAATTGGCATGATTATCGATATATGATAATTTTGTTCTTTGTTCTCCATTAAAACTTTGTGTTCGATTTCTTGCATTCCGAGATGTCACTGGAATTGATAAAATCTGATTTTTATCAGTTATTAATTGACCATTTTCTATACAGCGTTCACGAACCGATGGGAGCGAGGTAATTGTTGTATAACCACTAATACTACCGCTACCACTGTTATTACTACCACCAATAGATGAGACACGTGACAATGACGTATGTATATGATTAGTTGGTTGGTATTTATCTATATTAACAATCTGACTATGACTGGTAATACCAAAGCCGATACCGCTAACATTAGTTGAACTAACTAGAGGAGTTATAGAACCATTAGACGTGATATACGAATCATAACTTCGTGATAAATTCCTATATGATGATGATGATGTTGAAACAATTTGTTTAGATTTGCAAATAGCTGTTATTGCATTCTTTGAAATTTGTGTTGTATAATTCAAGCAACAAATAGGTATAAGATTTGATTCTACGGAAGATGACTGATCTGTTATAGATGATATCATATTTGAAGGATTATCATCCAGCTGATGTCGAACAGTTGATGGTGAACAATAATCACTTGTTATGGAATCGTGAGATTTTGTTATATTCCCACTGATTACTTCATTCGGTAGTTGATGTGATTTTTTACGTTTGTTTTGGTTAGATGGTGATTGATATGGTGGATAGGCGATACGGTAGATAGGAAGAGATGACTTAGTGATAGTAATAGATGTAGACGTAGGAATAGTATCATCAAAATTTTCCTTTGCGACGTTCCTATATGATATGAGAAAAGAATAGCTATAAATTGACTGAAAAAACTTAGAATATAACTGGAGTGTATTGATCCAACAGAACCACAAGGACACAAATTAGACTGGCAAAAGAACCAAGAATGGAGACATGTGAATGATAGTTTAGGCTGAAAAAGCTTAGATATTATAATAGACAAAACATTTTGATATAAACTATGCTAAGTGAGCTTTCAAAGAAGTACCACATTTGAATCGTTATTGAATACAATAGAAAGTTGTTTGTGAATAAGCGACAATACAATCAGTCCGTTGTTCATACATTCGTTTTTGTCAAACTACATGCTCCATGATTAATTACTCCTATAATTAATATTATTTAGAGCACTTAGTTTTGTTGCCTTGTTCATTTCCTCATTTAATGTATTAACGCAAAATGTAGCAACTTAGAACCATACATAGCTGTCCTAAGATCTAATTGACCGAGTAAATGATATAAAGAACAAGAGTAAGCACTAACAGTTAGACGATTCAGAAGGCTTGCATCAATAAATCAATGTTTTGAGCGGTGATCACCCGATTCAAATATTGCGATGTTCCAACCTATTGCTCGGAAAAGTCTATAGAGGTCCAAAAATGTTAGGAAACATTTTGTTCAATCAGTGTTGAGTAAATGCTTCACAGAAACATCTGGAAGGTGGGGAGTCATATGTCATGTTATCGACTGGGCATTTACCTACACTGCTACTATATTTATTATGGTTTCAAAGACTTCCAAAACCTAAAGTAATTCTATTAACACTCTAGTCTTTCTGCATTTAAATAAATCTAGAATTGAACGTTCTTTTTGCACTTCACGCCTATTCTTTTGTATTCTTTTGTAGACTGAGTTTATTAGAAACAGCTAGGAAATCGGGTCAAACAAGACTTATCATGTATCGTATTACTGTGCACCATCTATCTACCTATCTGCATTCTCTTAAATACTTAAATAATCATTCAAGATATGTTCATCATTATAAACCGTTAACTTGATAATATGTATACTTTCAAACAAGATTTATGTATGAAAAATCTTAATCGAGTAATGGAATCATTTTTATTGAGATACCATTCTATCTATACCTATAAAATGAATCATATCACCTATTTTCAATGTTGATAGGTGTAGACTACCTGGTTGAGATCAGTGAGACGATAGCAACCGATGGTTAGAGACCTTGAATGACATGGCTCGAAATCGTTTACAATGGTTTAAGTGCATCCACTCTTTGTGTTCTCCCAAATTCTAATCTTCTGAATTCTTCATGTCCCTTTTTTCTCTTTCCAAATTTATTTCACTGGATTATACTCCTTAAATAACATCTTCAAACTCTAATGTTTTCGATTACTGCCTATACTTTTTACTACCTGTACGACTATGGGATTTGAATCGACAACTGTATCTATGTGCTAATATGGTATGGCAACTTGAACTGATGTACGTACGTACGAAGTTCTACGTTGTTACTGACTGACTGACTGGCCTATTTTCGATAAACTGTGTTAAATACACTATAAATAAAAATATATCCTTTACATGACATACATAAATTTACCAAGTAAGCAGTTTAGCGATCATAAATTACTTTTAGAATAAATTTTTGAAAAAAAGATTTTATTATGACATACTTTTGCTGATTATCAGGTTCATGATCATCTCTTGGTAGATCACTGATAAATGTCGAAATGGGTATCTCATTTGAATGTTTAAAAGAAACAACCTATATAAAGTTAAGCATACATTAAGAAACATAATATTGAAGTCAGTGAGTTAAAAATAAAAGTTCAAACACCTATTCACTATGTAGAGTAATAAATTTTCAAAGTTAAACTGGAAGAGGTTAGAGATTCGAACTCGACGGTTATATAGTGTCAGTAAGCCTTAAACAAGAAAAAAAGTGAAACTTAGTTAAAATCCCGCCTGTAATGAAATGCTAGCATCTATTCATCAAGAATAACTTTCAAAAGACAAGTAAGTTATCTGAAGCCCATTAAATTTATATAACAGGAAATATAAATTCTAAATGGATTAGAATGTATATCGTGGTCAAGTTAACGAGAATTATTTAACATTAAAAGATATACTACTGATAATAGACAAAGTAGGTATACATAAAAAGACTACTTACTTTAACTCGTGGAAATGGTTTGCCCATTTCAATATATTTCAATTCTTGTGCTGATTTAAAATAGCTATTGTAGATTAACAAAACAAAAGATTATTGATTTCTTTCAGTGAAAAGTAACCTTACCTGCAATTAATCCAATGAGGTGCAACATATTCTTCTGGATTTATAAAAGATTCAGATAAAATCTAAAGAGAAAAACGAGGAAGAGAAAAAATCATTGTTAAAACTAGGTATCATAATATATTAATCCAGATAAAGATAAACTAACTTTTGAAATAAATTCAAGGGTCCAGAGTCAAGGTAAATATTCATACTCAAAACAAAGCATTTGTCTATAAAATGGTACAACTCGTGCTTCGGTTTGGGCAACCGGACAGTATTACAAACCTCATACAAATCAATGATGACTGATACTAGTTTCATTGTTACTGTGTGGCACATATGTATTTAGTACCCCCTTGTACCAATGTTTATATGTTCAAATAAATCAATAAATAAAAGACTGACTGCAGTCTAACTTAAATGTTGCCTTATGAATCAAATGAATGGTCATAAAAATAGTCTTCGAAAATCTTTTGCATAATCTGTTTACAGATAAATCTGAATGCTTTTCTGGGATCATGAAAAAACTTGACAACCATGAAAATTTGAAAACACTGAACAGACGTTTATCTTAATGTACGACTTTAGAATTGTGTTGATTCAGGGTTCAGGATCTTCAGTGTCTCAAGCTATCGTCGCACATTTAGACTATTGAACCGAAATCAAGTTGTGTGCATGTTAAACTTCAAGGTTTTTAATAAACCAACAGGCCGATTCGTGATCTCAGTAATATCTCCACAAACTTTCATAATGCTAAATGATTTCGTTTAAGATCGCGATTTCGTCCAGGGATAAATCACTGCACACAACTCGATGGTATTTGAGATGAAAATAACTGAAAACCAAGTAGCTATATCTTCAACTTATTATTTTCGCATGTTACAAAAGCTATGACTTGAATATCGTCAACCAGCCTTTATAATAAAAATCAGTGAGGGGAATACACACTGTAGCTTAATAGATGATGTGTTTTTATTAATCTAATAAACCAAATTAACTTTCTGAATGCTATGTAGTGCATAGTACCAAATAATACAATAACCCATTTACTTATTTCAGTGATCTGTAGAGGTGATTCAATTAGAAAATTACCTTTGTCATGCATTGATATTGTAAAGCCATTAAAAGCCAAAAAACAATGCATAGTTACTACGCTTTGATAAATTAGTGGTTAAGGTGTTTGGCTTTCAACTACTAGGTTTTAAGGCTTTAGTCCCGCTCCACCTACTTTAATTTGAGCAACCTGCTAGTACTACTAGCCCTCAGACAGAGAGCGTGGTTAAAAGTGAGTACATGGATCAACACTAAGTGAATAAGTTACTTAAGTACGTTTCAATTCGGAACGCCATAAGAGTGTACTGATATGAACCTGTAAGAAATCGTACTAACCATCTCTAGGTCTAAAAGTGATCTATATTTTTCAAACATCAGTCTACTAGCCACATAGTGAGAACAACTTTACATTGATTAACTACTAAATGATGATGAAAGGTCAGTCAGTCAGCTACAACGTGAGACCAGGCACATATATGCATCGGTCTAAGTTGCCATACCTCATTAGCACAACAAGATGAACACCGGATTCATAGAAGTAGTTAATTCAATGGTGGTAATATATAAAAGAAAGATCGCATATAAGGATATAGTATAGGAAGGAAGAATAAGATAGTAGAAAGAAAGATATGAAGCGATTTTAATCTATTAGTTTAAGGGTAGACAGAGTGTATACACCGACGCCATTGTGATCGATTCTGAGCCATGTCACCAAGAGTCTCCAACCATTGGTTACGACAGTCACGCCGACCCCAACCAAGTAGTCTGCATCACCCAATATGGCTCAGACTAGAAGTAAGTGACTTCAAGCACTGATGCCGCGTTTTGGCTTGGCCGCCCCTAACTTTCTTCCAATCATCCCCAACACTAATCAGCATTACGCGTCGTGGTAATCGATGTTCAGGTATACGCAACACGTGGCCCAACCATCTCAGTCCACGTTCACCACTTTTGTTCAACTTTATCATAGACAAACTGATGGAAATAACGTTCAGGTCGACTGAATTTTCAGGAATCGATTTCCTTCCAGGAGGTTCACTTATCAACTTAGAGTACATAGATGACATAGTCCTGTTTGGTGAAGATGGTGATAAAATGCAGTCGTTTGGTAACACTGAGCAACAATGCCAGAATGTTCGGAATGCGCCTCTCTCATTCTAAATGCAAGTTGTTGCTTCAGGACTGGCCTGTGCCAGCACCTGAACTAAAGATAGGGAGTGAAGTAGTCGAACGCATTGACAACTTCACTTATCTTGGAACTCTGATCAGCCCTAAAGGGTTAGTGTTTGAAGACATCTCAGCAAGGATTCGAAGAGCTCGTTTGGCTTTTCCCAACTTACATCACCTAAGATGATGAAAAAACATCATAAAATATCATATTACTTTGGTACAGTTTGGATTCTATCGACCAAATACAACCGTAAACATTAGGTGATTCGACGTGGCATGAACATACATCTCAATGCTAAGTGGTAATTGGAGGAAGTTAACAAAAGACACTGGATCTTAGTTTCGTCCTACCTGCCAACTGTGAACTAGGAATACCTACAATCTTGAGAGAACATTATTTCGCACTATATTGTGAATGAATATTCTGACTTGACGGTAATGCTATTTTGCTAACCACTAAAATTTAAAAATCCCTGGTTCAATATTCATGTGAGGTTATGTGTTTATACTGATGAGGAGTTTTGAAATTGAAACAAAGAAATTATATGATGCTCTCTCTAATTGAAAAATCCTTTTTACATCCGATATCAGTCCATGAAGAAAAACATTCTGTCAAAATATTCATGCATTTAAAATATTGAACATTACAAATAATGATGAAAATCAAGATGCATGTTCTAGCGAAGCAATCTGCACATGATGCATATACGTGAAAATAGAGACTGATCAATGACAACTCTGAATAGGAACAAATGGAAACTATATAAAATTTATTAATTTATATACATATTTTATTAAAGATAAATTTATGATAAACATACTTTAAACAATGGAACTGCATGAAGAGGTTGTTCTGCCAAACAGATTAAATCTACTCCAACACCTACACTCCAGAAATGATGAATTATAATAATATACATGGAGATTCATGATAAACAAGATATGGAATGTTAATTTATTTAAATTATTTACGTGGAAGTAATAATGAAATAGTGTAAAATTAATTATTTCATAATACGAAATTTGATTACTTAATGACAAAGTAAATTTTCATTCATATAGAATTAGTTGAAGAATTTCATTCACTAATTGATTACCCTATTTTCATCATTATGTGTTTGTAATTTATTTTTGTCTAAATATAAATATCGATTCATAATTGATCAAAATGAGTTGGCTCACTTACCTGCTCCATTGAGCCTAATGTCATGTCGCTTCCCCAAATGACCTAGTATGGCCGAGAATGGGGAGAGTCCGCTCTCCCTCTCGAAATGTTCTCACATGGCCACGCGTATATAGCCTCTGCCAGAGAAGTCCTATTCACTGTCTTCTCGTGACGGGGGTGTTGTTTACGAAATTGAGAGGAAGAAAAAAGAATGTCCGGCGCTTTAAACAGGTTGATAGATATGGAGATTCCACCTAGGGGAGTTCGAAAACTCTGATTCCAAACCAACGGTGCACATGGGCTCCAGTATTCTGAATGAACAAATGGCCTATGAACCAATCGTTGGTCACTGGCCACCATGGGAATGCATTTTCTGACGTTGCTCCATTGCCTTGTGGATTAGACCTTCAGATCGAAGGCTCCGGGTGTGGCCCCCTAAGAAAACCGCCTGGTTCGGTTTGGGCACTCGGGCAGTATCACGACCCTCACACAAATCAAGTGACTTGTATGGCGCATATGTACTCGGTGACCCCTTTATACCAATATTTATGTGTTAAAACAAAACAAATAAATAAACGTCGTGTCGTTTCGCTCTCTCCTCTTTACTTCCTTCAGTTCGTTTCCCTAACCGTCTGTCTAGATCAACGATTGTATGAAATATACGTGTTCGAAATTCATTCTCCTATTCGATTTATTTAACTCCGTTATTCACTAACGTGATTTAAGTCGATAGTTATATACGAGGGTTGGTGGTATGTATAGTTCGATAACAAACATCATACGATCTAATTGGAATCAGATATAAGGGCCACTAAAAACAGATAGTTCGGGGTAATAACAGAAAGTAACTAAATATTAAGTAAGTAGTTAAAACAGAAATGAAACAAAGGAACAGAAAGTATAAGATAACGTAAAGACTCCGAATAAGTTAGTGGATAGGAAAATGATAACATTTGATAGGAGTTATGTTATTCAGTGTCTCCCACCATTAATTATGATTATCGCGTACCGATTATTGTATGTCAATCAACATGGCTCAGATCAGTAATCAATAACATCATGGATTAATTCCACGTCTTGATTTAGCTACTCTTAGTTTTTTTTAGCCTACTTATATGCTAAAACAGAATTAAGCATTGAGAACACTGGTAGACGGCCTATGCTCCACGAGGGGTAGCACGTGTACATAAGTAAGTAACAACGGTTGAGAGGTATGTATAAGACGTACACTAACACATATTAAATTGATGTAAACCTAGACAATGATAACGAATTCACTTTTAGAGAGAAACTTGACAATCAAATCAGTTGGAAAAACAAATAACACTAGTTCAACCTAGAAGTTAATCAAGTCAAAATTCTGGTAGGCAAGAGAACTATGGGAGGGGGGTGGCGGGAAAATGTAGATACATAAAAATATTTTCTACAAACAAAAATTGTAACGACAGCTAAACTGATCGATCTCTATCAACACTTCACGTCAAACTAAATATAATTTTATTTGCTAATAACTAATGAAAATAATACAATGCATTAATTTCATTATTTAAAGAAAAAAGAATCATTTGTTTACTATGTAATTTTGTACTCACCTAAATCAAGAACTCGTTTTTTTGTTAACAATAAAAGATTTTCATTGACATGATAGACACCAGAACCTGGTGTAATTACAAATAGAAGTTTACCAGTACGATCAAAATTTCGATCAATATTATATCCCGAATAAACTATATATAATAAATAATATTTTAATTAAATGATTTATATTGTATAAAACGAGGTAAATTTTTGTTGACAAAAAGAACGAAAAACTTGATCGAATATTGTTCTATTCAATAAATGAATGAAGCCATGACCAGTGGAGTAGATTCGTGTCAAGTAGAGAAAGGTATCTACCTAAAACAATGGAAGATGGTCGTGCTATTTCGTGGATTGGTTGAATTTAAACATTAATACCGTTAAATGACGGTTTAGCGGTCTAGAGGTTGGGCGTCCGCGTGGAAGATTGACGGCCCTGGGTTCGAACTCCGTGTGCGGGATCATGAACGTGCACTGCTGAGGAGTCTTATACCAGGACGTTAGTCACAATATTGTTTGTCAGTAGTATAGATACGTTAAAACACTACATTATTCAACAAGATGTGAGATTTACCTAGCTTTCTAAGATTCGGCTCTTTATCTGTTCCATCAAATGTCATAAAGACAGTTTTCTTTACTTTAATGTAACATACGTTTCAAGGTATCAGTGTAAAAATTAACAACGTCAATTTCATATGGCAAGGATTTATAATTACACCACAGAAATGTCTATTTTGTTTTAATAAATTATGTTAGACTACTTATTAGTAGATCGAAAAGTTACTTGAAATAACTAGACAAATGAAGTATATATGGTATAAACAGAATGGGGCAAAGTATTTGTTTGATACGGTTTTTTGGCCTAAGTATACTTCAAATGACTTTCCATCTAATTACAAAACAGTATTTACTTATAATAGAGCTTATGAAGTTTTACAGGTTAGGAACTGGTTTATTCTCTGTGGGATTAAAAGATCTCCCATGTAAAAACTCACTTTCCAGGCTATAGAGCATTCTTCTACGAGAGCTTTTATATTACCTTCAGATAGAACATCAGAAGTAGTTAGTATTTCTTGTAACCAACGTTTCACAACGCGTTGTATCCAATGTTCGGTTGAATAAAATACATGTTTAAGCATCTTAAGAAATGAATAATGGAAAATTCCGCCAAGCTTTACAGAAGGTAGAAAAGCTAGCAGTCATTACGTTTCGGATTTCGCTCAAACAAACAAATGTAGCTTTGTTGAATTTATTAGTTGTGCTAACTATATATAAACACAAAGTCAATCGCATACGAACGTGCAATTATCCTGATCACTCCAAATCTTAATGACTTATTATTATTTCTTAAGTTTTATAAATTTCCACTGCGGTAACTATGTACTTAAAACGATGTAGTCAATTTCAACGACCACACTTCACTATATTCATATGCTGACAAACATAAAAATTGATTTTAGACTTGTAGTTTAAGAAAGGTATGTAACAATGACTGTACAGCTTTGAAAATGAACTCATTAAGAGAAATTCATTGACTGGGCTATGAAGGAAAAGAAGAGTGATAGGGTGTAATGATCATAGAGAACTCTATGGTCAGTTATTAATCCTATAAGTTCACACTCCCATTGTATCTACGGTAAAATTAGACTATACTGACACCTTTAAGCCAACCAATCAAAATTAAGATGACACGTAACATACTTTTGCGCGGTATTGAAAGCATATCGAAGGATAGCTTGTATGTTATTAGAAACTAAGTGAAATTTGGCAGTATTTGGTTCTGAAAATGTTTGATGTTTAGTATGCAACCAAACGATGAATATAACATGATATTTAATCCACATTACAAGAAATATCTTCTGATACAGATTGTATGTTAGAGTATTTGTTGTGATTAGATGGAATGTTAATGGTGTTTGTATGGTTGGATAAAATTATCCTACACTGATTCCTAACTCTTAATCTCATCCTTAACTTTCTTAAGCACATACACAAAAGGCTATCAATGATTCATTGTTACTAAAGTTGATGTCAGTTCGTGATGAAAACTCTATGGTGTGATAACATTAACTGATAACACAACATGATCATTTTTTTACTATAACGAATAATTCAACATGTAAGGGTAAATTAATTACATCAAATGCACTGGTATGGCCGAGAGTGGGAAGAGTCAACTCTCCCTCTCGAAATGCTCTCACATGGCCACGCATATATAGCCTCTGCCAGGGAAGTCCTATTACTACCTTCTCGTGACGGGGGTGTTGTTTACTAAATTGAGAGGACGAAAAGCGAACGTCCGGCGCTTTAACCGGATCTCAAACTAATGGTGCACATGGGCTCCAGTATCCTAAGGGAACAAATGGCGTATGGACCAGTCGTTGGTCACCGGCTTCCATGGGAATGCATCTCCTGACGATGCTCCACTGCCTTGTGGATCAGACCTTTAAGTCAAAGGCTCGGGGTGTGGCCCCCTAAGATAACCACCTGCTTTGGTCTGGGCACCTGGACAGTATCACAGCCCACACACACAAATATGGTGTGGCGCATATATATTTGGGGCCCTCTTGTACCAATATTTATGTGTTGAAATAAATAAATAAAAATTCCACTGTGATATTATTGTTTTTCATTGTTAATTGTTTTATAATTAAGCAGTGCTTGTTTATGGGCCAATACACCACTTAAGATAATCAGTATTATATAGTTTAGTGTTAGTAACCAGCTCTAGATAGTACCATTAGCCCTTATACATGAAAATATATGAGTATACACGTAATAAATAAGAGAATAACAATTCCCACTAAAGATAGATATCTATAATATTACCAATAGGAAACTTACGATTGATAGCCATATTCAATACTTCCAAGAGATTAGCATCCATAGCTGTACATATATTTAACTTTGTTTTATTTGAGTTCTTATTAATTAATGGATAAGTATTGCGTAAATAAGAATAAATATTATTTTCGAATTGAAGTACTTCATATTGCATTCGACCAAGTTCTCGTTTCCAATCATCTGTTGTAAAACGTTCATTTTGTATAATCACTCTTGATAGTAAAACAATAATCATAAAATATAGATAGTGACATGTTTTAACACAAATAAATGATATACAATCAATGAAATATAGAAAACAGAAATCGTCAAACTGCCACATCAACTTATGCTTTTCATCAAGTAACTTGATATTCAAGGATAGAAAAGTACTTTAATTTGCATATCGATTGATGGGATAGTGAATTTTCATTAAATGTGGCGGTTGATATATATATAATGTATGTTTAACAACAGTCTATGTCGAGGTGCGATGTCTGTTGATGTAGGAATAGGTCTGAAGAAAGATAGGAGTGGTTAAACGAAGACTCGGCATTAGTCCATGAATTTATTGACTGTGGTACTACGCCGTGTACGTAGATACGCACTACTTTGTAGTGTTCACGCGATTATCGTAACCAATGGTTCGGGAGGTTGAGTGGCATAGCTCAGAAACGACCATACCGGTGAGAATACACTCACTTTTTGTTTGTTTATATACAGAGTTTTCAAACTATCTAGTACGTTTATCCCACGAACTTTATTCTTTCTTGTTTATTCCTAATGTTTAATACTACTGTGGTGTGTGCTTTTAATGACGACAGATATAAGTAGTATGTATCACTAATCGAAAGTCAAATGCCTGGAGGCAGAAGGTTAAGAAGTTCAAAGAAAAGAGAACAAGAACAGAGAATGATTGGTGTGAAAACGAAATAACAATGAAGTCTGAGACGATTGATTGATATTTGCAGAAGGAACAGTCAAGTTTGAGACAATTGATTGATATTTTGCAAATGAAGTATTTACTGTATGGTTGTCAGATTTTACTAAGATGTTCTGTAATTTTGTATTCAAATACATTCTATTGCTTCCACTTGTTTTCGTTCACTACACTACCACTGATTATGTTAATACATCTATTTCTGCGGTTAGCATTCGCCCTGATAAATTTACCTCGTTGTGTTGATACAATGCGGTAGCTCGAGCCGAAACGCACCCTAGTAGTACTGATTTATTATCGAGAGTGGTAACCATATTTGTTTTTGTGTACTTTAATATTATATTTTTTTCTTTGTTATGGCTTACCTTTAACCTGTATAGTTGACATTTTAATTTTCATATATTTATTTTATTTCAACACAAATATTGGTACAAGAGGGCACCAAATATATATGCGCCACACTTTGTGTGAGGGCTATGATACTGCCCGGGTGCCCAGACCGAAGCAGGTGGTTAGCTTAGGGGGCCACACCCCGAGCCTTTGACCTAAAGGTCTGATCCACAAGGCAGTGGAGCATCGTGAGGACATGCAGTCCCATGGTAGCCGGTGACCAACGATTGGTTCATACGCCATTTGTTCCCTTAGGATACTGGAGCCCATGTGCACCATTGGTTTGGAATCAGGGTTTTCCAACTCCCCTAAGTGGACTCTTCGTGTCCACCAACCCGGTTAAAGCGCCGGACGTTCGCTTTTCGTCCTCTCAATTTAGTAAACAACACCCCCGTCACGAGAAGGTAGTGAGTAGAACTTCCCTGGCAGAGGCTATATATGCGTGGCCATGTGAGAGCATTTCGAGAGGGAGAGCGGACTCTCCCCACTCTCGGCCGTACCAGGGCATTTGGGTGCTGACATCATATATCCACAATACTTTTATCATTTTAATGTAGTTCGTTAAAGATGCATAACAGAGTATAATTTCTATTGTTCATAACCATAGTGAAAATTTTTAATGTGACATCATAATCATTTCAGAAATACCATTGTGATATTTGATTCAAAACTATAGAGTTAAAATAATTTCATTTCCATTTTTAGTGAAAGATTATATAATCAAATTTTCCAGTTCATACATGTACCATGTGTTATCGTAGACTATAATCAACTCAGGCGATGCAACTCTCATATTATTTTAAGTTGAATCAATTAAATCAGTGCATTATTTCTATATTGATAGGATTTATGGCATGTTTCTGTTGAGTTGTTACACTACAAAACCAAGTCAATAAATCAGGTCTGTGTTACATAATATTAGCTTAGCAGAACTAGCTTACATATATTTCGTAGTTTTCTTTGTTTTAAAAGTTATCTGTCTATGAATGATGTATACTGCTGATGTTACTATATAACTTACTTGCCAATTACACATTTGAGGTGAACTGTTTGTGTGAGGCCTAATGGTACTATTCGATTGGCTAAATGGAACTTTATGAGTCAGTTATACGTAATGTAGAATTTGACATATGTGGATCGGTTTAATTTGCCATACTACATGAGCAAAGTGAGATAAAGTCGTCAAGACAAATCCCAGAGTAGTAAAAGTGATAAATAGTATGAATGGTATCATTGGTAATAGTGGTAGAAAGAATTACGGGTAGAAAAAGAAAAGAAAATGATAGAAAGTGACTTCACAACTCAGGTTTTAAAAATAGAAAAAAATGAATGCAATTCTACTCTACTGTAAACAGTTTCCAGCCAAAATCGAAGTAACAGCAGTAAAATTCAAAACTAGGTGTTAAAACTTAACGGAACTATCAATTATTAATAAAGTTGAATAGTGAACAACAATTCATGGGAAAGAAAACGTTATAAAAAATGACCATTTGTTTGAAATCAATATTTTTTTAAACTCTACTAATTATCATATTGCTTTGTGAACGATTTATTTATATATTCAGTCAGTCAGTCAGCTACAACGTAGGACCAGGCACATATATGCATCGGTCCAAGTTGCCATACCTCATTATTTATCTATTACCACGATTAAAACAGATAAACTGGTTCCTCATATTTCACTAAAAAAAGTAGTGATGTACAATACATATAAGAATAGAAATTTACAAATTATTTAACAATAGTCGTAACAAACACCGATATGAATAGAAAAGAACACATTAAAATCAAATTAATGCCTTACCTGTAAAAATCTTCATAATATCTACTTAAGGCATCTTGTTTAAACGACTGAGAGTATTCAGAAGGTACATCTAGAAAAAAATAAAATACTTAAGAATTATGGATAACTAGTGGAATGCACTACATACTTAGAACAATGTAATATATGTATAAAAAATTAATATCACCATGTTGAAATACCGAGTTTAATGGCTTGGATATATTTTACGAATGTTAGCCCAGAAGCTTTGACATCATGTAGTAAGCATCAACGATGGAACTGGGAGAGAAAAGTGTGAAGAAGTGGTCACTTTATTACATGGCACCGTAGTATTAAAGTTATGTAAGACTGGTAGCTGTAAATACATCACGACTGTCTGGTTGGGATTATGGAGATGGTGCAACTCAATGGATTGAGACGTTAACAGAAATGGCTGAAAACAGAAGCCAGTAGCGATTCTGACGTAGTTTTTTCCCATATTGTTTTATATAAATGAGATGAAATTCCTCAACTGAAAGTCTTTCTTGATTGTATTTTAAATAAATTGCATGTGTTAATGTAAATTATTCTTGCTCAATTGTTTGATTGCTACTTTTCCTCCATCATTTCTCCAAAATCTTACCTCCGTATTTGCGTGGTACGTTCTATTTTTGGTACCTGACTTAGCAAGACTTTCTGTATATTCAATAAAAATATTTGTCTTAATTTTTGCCACGAGCAGAGATCAGTTGTAGAAAAACTGAAAACTATTAAACACATTGAAAAATGGTGTCTTAGTTCGTGACGTCTGAAAAAGGTGCATTAAGGTCCCTAGATAGAGACGAACGTACATACTGATATCTAAGTTGGTACCTGTTTATTGATAGTTCCATGCTTTAAAATGTAGCTTACTAGTTTATGTACCCTACTTTTAATCTTTATTCTAACAGTACTCTGTCTGCTACTTTTTCCACAAACATCTAGATGGCGTTATGAACACCTCATACAACTATTAAACAATATATGCATACGTACAAGAACCTCATTACCAACTATAAATACAGCTAATTATAATACGCTAAAAACAACAAATTAAAAGAATATAGTAGAATTTCAGTAATAGTCAGTCAGTAACAACGTAGAACTTCGTACGTACGTACATCAGTTTGAGTTGCCACACATTAGCACGGAGATGCAGTTGTCAACTCAAATTCTGTAGTGGTAGAGGTAGTAAAAGTATAAGCAGTAATCGGAAACATTAGGGTTTGAAGATATTACTCAAGGAGTATAATCCAATGAAATAAATTTGGGAAGAAAATAAGGGACATGAAGAATTCAGAAGATTAGAATTTGGGAGAACACAAAGAGTGGATGCACCTGCGCCATTGCAAACGATTTTGAGCCATATAAGTTAATACTAACAGAATCTTTTTTTTAAGTGGAGACCAAATTACACTCAACTTACCATCAATATAGATACGAGTAAAGAATACAACAGTTGTATCATGATTACAATTATTTTCCTAAAAAAAAGTTGAATAATATGTTTTAAAAAAGAAAACTAACAGGCCAAAATTTTAAAAACAATTTTGATAAAAATTTGAAAGCTTTCTCTAGGTAAAGATCACCATTATTATCGAACCACCACATTTCTTGACTCATTTGTATGAAAATGTGTATAACTGCTGTGGAAGAACGAAAAATAATCTTTTAATTTTATTCATATTTGTAAATAATTATTGACAAACTTTAGTTTTTGAATCTATATATCCACAAGAATATCTTTCACCAAGGCGCCATAAATCACCAACCTGTGTTCTATATCATAGTAGGATTATTCATACATATATAATATGAATACAAGTAAATACCTTGTTTCATTACAAGTGAGCTTTTTATTCACATGTACAACAGTACCAATCTATGTAGAAAAGGAAATGGATTTCAAAAAAGAATAAATAATTACCAATTTCTGTGTAATATTGCAGAAATCTCTTCGACTGAAGTATTGATCTCGAAAGTATAATTCAACTAAATCCAGTGAAATAGTCTATTACGAAAAAAATATATGGAAACTATGAAAATCGGAGAAACTAACTTCTTTATTTATCACATTTACAATCACATTTTTATGTTGTTGCAATTTAAATGTATGTGCAAGACTTTGTTCTACACTAATGACATCTAAGAATAAATAATAAATATAAACGATTGATTGTTAAAAAAGCAGCAATTAGCATTACCACGATTTTGCAAATCATCACTGAAAGTTGTAACCAAGAAAAGAGCATGATGTGCATCTTCAGGATGATAAACTTCAATAACATCTCCAATATTAATATTATGGCCTCCTCTTGAGCTAATTATTACATCTTCTGGACAAAAAAACACCATACTTAATAAAAAGAATTAATACACTGACCAGTAACGAAACCTCGTGAATCATTACGAGAATGATAATGTAATTTGAACTTCTGCTTTACCACCATACATAAAGTCTAAAATAAGAATAAAATTTTTTGGAATAAGATACGAATTGGAAAAAAATAAGATAGCCGATTACATCTGCATACTTATGACTTCACTTCGATAAATATATACTGGACTAAAGTTAGAAAATATGAAATTAAAAAACAAGCTGGAATATACAGCGCTGTGTTATTAACTGTAAGTTACGCTTATTTGTTGTATGGGGTGCTCATAACACCATCCAGATGTTTGTGGAAAAAGTAGCAGATAGAGTACTGTTAGAATAAAGATTACAAGTAGAGTACATAAACTAGTAAGCTACATTTTAAAGCATGGAACTATCAATAAACAGGTACCAACCTAGGATATCAGTATGTCACATTGATGATTATATATATTGCGTTGCTAAATCTCACATTACTTCATAAAGATAGAAAATCAATAATAGGAGGGGTAAAGGATGCAAAATAGTACCAATTTTTATAGAGACCTAAATATGAGAAGTGTGACTCGAAAGAAATTTGTGATTTAGAGGAACAGAACAGGTATAAGATCGATAATGCGCTATATCAAGGAACATTTTCAGTCACAAATTACAACTGCTAAAAGGACCCCGAACAAAACGTTTGCAATTACTGACATGGCTCATATCAACAATCAATGACTATTGGCGCGCCCTAATCTAGCTGTTTTTACAACCCACTTCAACGTCATCTGGAATTTACAATGGGGTTAGAAGTAACATGTAAACATTTCTAACTTCGGTTTTACTATATGGAAGAAACTGCCCAATCACATGTCATCAAGCATATGCATCCTATGCATATCGGCTACTTTCATAGAAACGGTTACACTTACAGCTTGATCACATACGCCTGTTACTCCTCGTGGGACACAGTCCGTCGACCAGCTTGATTAGCAAGCTGGAATTTCACCTGCGGAAAGTGTTGCAGGTTTGCAAAAGCCGAGCAGGCTTTTTATCCTTGTGTAGCGATTCCATTGGCCATCAGCTAACAAGACTACCAAAATAGTCGAAGTCGTCAGTTCAGCACACTACTGAACTCACTACACTCAGACTAGGCACTGACCAATAATGAATCAATATTTCGCGTTTATAGATGAAAAACTCATCTCAAACATTTCTACCTTGTTAATCAAAACATTCAAATGAATTTTCACTTTGTAAGCGTTTACACCATCCCATCTTCATATTTAAAGTCAATAATCGGACTTATTGGAGAATAAATGCTTGAGACGTTAAACGAATAATCTCATCTCTAAAGGTTAGTCTTTGACAAAATTTCACAAAAAACATTGATACCAGGCAGTGCTGATGAACATCACTCAATGTCAGCCCAAGTTAGCATATCGAATCACCAACACTGTAAATAGTGAGGGTTGAAATAACAGTAGTAATTATAGAGAACGACTAAACACTGACGAATATGGTCTGAAAAGCGATTTAAGAAAGATAAGCAGTGATTAGAGTTGTACAGCTGTGATTGACCCTAATTTATATCGTCCAACACCAACCACTGATCACGGTCATCACGCGGACACCAACTACGTAATCTGGGGACGAGACTATAATCCATGGACGAACCAATCACGTGTAAGGTAACAGGTCTTGGATTTTGGTGCGAAATTCACCTGTCCATTTGCTCAAACAGTTTTTCCATTATAGCTGTCAGTTCGCGAAAACTCAAGATCTAATTCTTGGCCTCGGCTATCAGCTGTAAATCATAATTATAATTTCTTTACATTTGGTCCTAGTTATTAAGTGGATACCCTCAAGGTCAGTCTAGCGTCGCTCAAAGGCCGTCCATAAATTATAGTCTCACCAACTATACTAACCAACATCTACTCTAGCCAAGACTGTTTGGTGAAGTAGATGGTGGTTAAATATGAGAAACCCACGTCTCGACTATCTGAGTAGGTGAACATTCACAGCCATAACCAAATTGAGCCTGTGGTACCCTACGTCTAACCTCGGAACATTTCAACGCATATCCTGGTGCTACTAAGTCCAAAGAACTTATCTGCTTCAACCAAATAAAAAGGTTTAGTATACTACGAAACATGTGGGACACAATTCGTTACATAACTGAGACTTATCGTGTGAGGATCTTACATAGTTTGGGCGAACGACACCAGTGAGCCACTTTATATCTATTCGGAAAAATTAAATAGTTGTAAATAAATTAAATATGTTCTAGTAAGTTAAATAATAGGTTCTTTGCGTAAAACTAAAATTTTCAGAGTCAAAATACTACATATACATAATATATATTATGTATATGTTTGTGTATATTATGTATATCATCAAGTGACTCGACTAGGAACAAATTCTACAACTCTTCAGGCCATCAATCAAATATATGTGTTTGAAACTGTTCTAAATGTCAAAACAAATGCCAATTTATCTATTATACATAACATTATGTGTATATTGCGTAGTTCAAATCTAGTAAAATCGCGTTTAAGAGTGAACGAGACCCTGGTCGGGAAATAAATTATATATATTCAAAGGGAATACAACTTATCATCCCAATTTAATGACATTGGTGACAATATCTACTAGGAAACGAAGATCAACTACACACTCAAGTAACGTACACGTTTGTTACACTGCCTTTTTCAAGGTTAGTATCCAATATCTAATGTAATTGTGACAGTGCAACATGTCCAGCCGATTTATTTGTCCTCTCGTATTGATGTCAGAGTACTCCGCCAGATATTTGGTAACATCAGATAAGATTATTCCTATCATTTAGCTGCTTTGAAGTCTATGATTCCAAATAGTAAATATAATTGGAGGTCAATGAGCGAATCGCATTCAGATTTGAGATTTAGATACAGACTTGTATAGTAATGACAGAGGGCCTACAGCTCATGTTAGAGCGTTCCTGTTAACTTCTGTGAGTGTCTAGTCTTCTCTTTAGTGAATCAATCAATGGTGCAGACACCACTGCTTCGGGTAACAAGTTCCATGAAATGATGACTCGGTGTGAAAACCTGTATGCCACGAGCATTTCGTTCGTTCCATGCCTATGCGCAATAGGAAATGGAGGGGATATATCACATCCAGAATCATCTCTTGGTACTCTATACATCAAAATATGATCACCTCTTAATCTGAGGTAGGACAGAGTAAAGAGATCTAGGTTTTTGAGCCGCTCTTTGTATGACAAACACCAGAGTTACAAAAAATTGCACAAGTGGCTGCCTCCTGCACATTTTCGGGATGTCCGAGTCACTTTTTAAACAGAAGCTTGCAGCTTGAACGCAGTTCTCAAGTTTGTATCTCAATAAGGTTGTGTATACTGTAGTGAACATAGTAGTGTAGTAACCTACTTTTATCAAGAGAACGCGATTGGTGTAATGGAAACAATTATTATTATAACCAATTGTACCAGTGATTGTTTTACTGTACTTGTTTGTTTAACTGTACTAAAAACACCCATTATTCTTCCACTCTTTTTTCCGTTGGTTGTGACCTTGCATGAACCTACGTTTGCTCAGTAAATCCGCTTGTACTCCTTTGGTACGATCTCGGTATTCTTTCGATACCACGAGATCACCAACAAATATACTTAGCTACAACCTTCAATTTCCTTCTGATATTTTGGTACGCAACCTTCCTTTAGTGGTGATCTTAGTCAACGAAGACTCGACGCCACGCTACAGTAGAATCTGACTTGGTGAATATCCGTCTTAAAACCCATAGGGTTCCAAACCCTTTAGCTTCAACCCTCTAATAGTCCGTCGTGGTCTTAAGATTTTAGCACACTGTCATCCCAAAATTCTTGTAGGACAGAACTACGGATACAGGTAGTTCCCTTATGCTGCGCCTATTTACCTTTGTATCCCCAAAGCGCATGTAGATGCGCCTTGAGGAACTTCACTAAGTAGTGATTTCCAGGAGGAGCAATTGAAATATATTCTTACTTTTGTCTATGGTCCATGAAGAAATTCTTGATACATTTTAGGAGCGGTTCGGCAGTGCCTAGATTTTCCAGCCTCGAGAATAGTCGCTAGTTGGCACCTTATTAAATCCGTCCCTGACGTCTTTGTAGACAGCATTTACTGATACTCAATTATCTAGAGCCTCTGTCCATCGATTTCTGGCCATAAGGAGATTTATTGTGCAAGACAACAATGCAAGAGAAAGAAATATCAAACAACTACATCAAACGACGAAGAAACTGACAGGGAAATATGGTGAACCAGAAAGAACAGTCAAGGACAAAGAAGGAAAGACAATCACAGAGATCCAAGCACAGAGGAACGGCTGGGCAGAATACTTCGAGAAACTCCTAAATAGACCAGCTCCATTGAATCCACCGGACATCGAAGCTGCACACACAGACCTTCCTATAGATGACACTCTACAAACGGTCGAAGAAATCAGGATGGCCATCAGACTACTCAAGTGTGAGAAAGCGACAGTACCTGATAATATAGCAGCTGAAGCACTGAAGTCAGAAATAGAAGCAAATACGAACATGCTACACCCATTCAGGAAGATTTGGAAGGAGGAACAAGTGCCGACAGACTGGAAAGAAGGACGCTTAATTAAGATTCCGAAGAAAGGAGATCTAAACAAATGTGAAAGCTACAGAGGAATCATACTACTGTAAGTACCAGGGAAAGTGTTATAACTTGTGGCCTGTGTGTTCTGTTAATATATACGTAACGATACCATCAATCAGAGAACAATCAGTTATCGATCCGACCAACGGCGCATAAATTCCGTACGAGCAGTCGGAAATCCTTATTGATCCTGCTTCCTGACTAGCCCAGTCAGTTAAGTCCAGAACACCAATTACAGCCTCTGCGATATGAATCATGTATTTCAAACGTACTAGGTATATATACAGACCATATCAAACCATAAACTGGAAAAACACATTTGTAAAAGATTTAACCAAATGTGACTGTATGTGGAAATAGTAATTAATAGACAGGGTATAACTCAAGAATGACAAATCGTATAATAGTATTTCATGGGTCAAAATAA